TGTGTGTGTGTGTGTGTGTGTGTGTGTGTGTGTGTGTGTGTGTGTGTTTTGTGTTCCCAACTTTGATTACCTTTGGAGATGCATTTCAAACTAAAAAACAGTTAACAGAGGACGGCTTGGGGACAAAAGCCACATCCCTAATTGGGGGTAAAAAAGGCTGATTTTGGGGTCAGTGGTTAAGGTGAGGCGAGTGGGGGTTAGGGAAGTCTCCAGGAAATGAATGTATGTCAATGTAAGGTCCCCAAACATGACCTAAGTAAATATATATGTGTGTGTGTTGTTTGCCCCCTCAGCCTGTATCATGAAGTTGCTGCACACTCTCACCAGCCAGTCGGCTCCAGTTCTTTCTTGTGCCTTCTCTTCTGATGGAGAGCTGCTCGTTTCGGGGTAACGCACACAACACATCACCACACACACACATGAATGACTCATCTTCACACGTGTGTGAGCAGCTCTGATAAACACCTCTTGTGTCGCCAACTGAATTTTGACTTATTATTTATCATTTGCTGTGAAATCATTCTGCTCATTTGGGACGAATTAAGTTTAAATTAATCCCACGTCCATGTTTGAAATGCTCCTTTTCTTTCTGTGCCGTAAAACGGCAGATGCCACTGCTGAGCACTGATCCAGCTGTTTCTTCAGCAGACCACAGGAGGAGTGTATTTTGTTGTGTTTAAACTTCAGTTTGCATCTCTCTGCTGTTTCTCGTTTTAGTTCAAACACGCTCGAGGTTAATGTGTTCTCTGTTTGTATCTCTTAAACATTTGAATCACGTGTGTTTTTGTTTGAATTTAGTCTGGACTGCAAATGGATTGGATTCTTGCAAATAACTTTACTCTGATTATTCAACAGTTCGGTGGATAAAAGTGTTGCAATATATGATGCGGTAAGTAAAGGCCAAAAAACACTTACAAAACATAGATTTTTTTTTGGTTTGGCTTTGCTGCTTCAGTTAACTACTTTCTTAAATAATTTATCCCAACCACTGTAAACACACGGATCCCAAACGTCCCTGTTCTGTCCCTGTTTGTTTGCTCTTTGTTTACAGAACCTGGGAACTCTGCTCCACACTCTGAAACAGCATGACAGGTAGATGATCAGACCTCCCGCGGCTATGCAATCTATGCAGCTATCAGACAAACAGCAAAACAGTTTCAGATCAAAATGTGTGATTTTTGCCTGATTAGTTTTTTCCCAGAAGCGCTGGGTGCAGTGATGCAATAGAATATTCTCCAGCGCTGCGTTCCAGATGGTCATTGAGGTGGCACCGCAGGTGGACACCAGCAGAGCCCTTTGAAGTGCTTGAAAGGATTTAAGATACAGTACCATCTAAGACTGGATTTATAATTTATATTTTATTAAGGGTATAGATGGAAGCTGACTTTTAAAGCCGATCTCATCCTGTGTAGGTTTTAGTCTGTCATACACACCCTTCACATTTCTGCTCCTCTTCCTCCTCCCTGCAGGTACGTGACTGCTGTTGCTCTGTCTCCCACCATGCCGTGGATTGCAACCGGCTCCATGGACCGAACCGTAAACGTGTGGCGGATAGGAGATGAAGTCAGCGGAACTGGTAAATACTTAACAGGGAATTGTTTAGGTTGGCGCCTTCAAATGCACAATCACTCCTCCTTTTTTTTAACAGACTGTTAGCAGTGGTTCAAAGCCCAGGAGCCATTTGGAGCGCTAAAGCCTCCCTAAAGAGTGTTTTGGGAGATATCCAGCAGAAGAAGCTCCTATTACATGTGTATTGCTGTCTGGCTGCAGTGTCTAGAGGAGGAATTGTCATTGATGTTTATTGGTGCAGGAGGGCAAAGTACCACTAAGCCTCAGAGAGCTGTTCTGAATCCTCTTTAAAAAAAAAAAAAAAAAAAGAAGAAGAAAGTTCAGACCAAACATGAAAGAAAACATTTGGGATACTAAATGAAAAGGTGCAATCGTTAGACATCTGGAGGCCTTGAAGTTTTTATCAGGGCAGCTTCCCATCTGCCATTAGTCAGGTTGATGTTGACAAAGCAAATTCCATCTCACTGAAGATCTGCCTTTTTTTATGCCTCTACCTCTTACTCTCTCTCATTCTCCCCTTTCCTTTAATCTTCTTTCTTTCTTTTTATATTAAAGTTATTCTCTTTTATGTTGTCCTGCAGCAACTGAATCGAGGCAGACCGTGTGCCAAGGTAAATACATGCATCACCCTGTTTTTTTCCCCGAGAAATCTTCAGCTATTCACAGCACTCTGAGCTAAAAAAAACATTGTTTATCATGTTTCTATAGCTACTGTACGTCGGGTTGTGTGAACCCGTAGAAACCCGAAGGTGCTTTGGTGAAGCTAATGGGGATCCAAAAAAGAAAATGAAATAGCAACTGCCTGGCTTTAAAGGATAAGGCTGGCATTATTCAATATTTTTCTAATGCCATGGAAATCCCATTAAAAGACGAAAACAACAATGTGTTGGTCCGTCTCTTAACACCTTCCCAAGCCCATTCGTTCCTGCTGAATTGTTACAAATGCATCATAAATATGTAAGGGTTTCATTTTCAAAAGAGGCTCAGTCATTTCTGAAAACATATGGGCACAGTCGGTGTTAGCTAGCACTGTGACTCTGATTGGTGCAGCCATTTTCTTTCCCCTCAGGATTTAGAAGAACAATATGTTGACTCTGACTAAATACTTGCAAAACACATGACATTATTTAGATTATTTATGCTGGTTTAGCACCTTCTAAACAAGGCAATTAAAGTGCTTTGTATAAGACAATATGAAAAGGCACATGAATATAAGCTAAAATAGAACAAAACAGAATACTAAATTATAGTGCAGTGGAAGATGTGACTACAAACAACCCAAATGTAATTTTAATCCCACACATCAATAGTCCACCCACACAGGTGTTTTCATGTTGTTTGATGAGACTTCTTCTTTACAAACCAGGCTTGATTGACTCCTTCACTCTCCTGTAAGTATTGTTGCAGCTGCTAGGGCGGGACAACCTCCCCAGTTATCATTCTTAGTAGTGTTTGGTGAAGCTAATATGACTCCAGCTAGCTTTAACCTGAGTAAAAGTCTAATCAGCCAGCGTGATTGGAAACACCTGTGTTCATGGGCAGGGTTAGCTGAGGACTGCATGCAGTATACTATGACTTTATGTATGACACAGTGCAATATTGATTTTGACTTTTTTATGACAAACTATACTATGACTTTTTTAAATGATGTTTTATGACTTGTGACATACTATACTATTACAGTTATACTATACTTTTTCTTGACTTTTTTATTACTGACTATACTATGACTTTATATATGATTTAATGTCACTTTCTATTGACTTTTGTATGACTTACTCTACTATGACTAATTTTGATAACATACTCTGACTCTTTTATTGACATATTATACTATGGGTTTTTAATGATGTTTTATGACATACTATACTATGATTTTCTTATGACTTACTATACTATGACTCCTTTATGACATATACTCTGTTATTTTGCGTGTAATTAGTGTGCCAGAAAAAGAGACAAAACACTCAAACAAAGATGAATTTGATTGATAGCATTTTCTTTATTATTATTTTTCCATAGATATCACAATAATATCATTATCATGAATTATTTTTGCAGTACAAATGTGATGTCATTTTTGGAAACTAATGGAGGTCAACGGCACTGAGGAATAAACGATCAAGCTTTAACTGCACAAACAATACTTGTCAGTAGAAATAGTTCACTCTTGGTTTTTGGTCTTTTCATTGGATTTGTTGACAATAAGAAGGAAATAGACCAGGCTCCACGTCTCCAGTCTTATCCTGTGAGTAATGGGGATGTTGAAGAAACCCTGGTGTAGACCAAGAACACGCTCTAGAGATTATGTAGCTCATCTGGCTTGCGAACGCCTCGGAATCCCCCAGCAGGAGCCGGAAAACGTTTTCTAGGGAGAGGGGGATGTCTGGAATACCTATACAGCTTAACCTGCTGCCACCATGACCCGGCCCAGGATAAGCGACAGAAAATGGACTGATAGATGAGGAAGAGAGCCTCATGTGTGCATCTGTCCATGTAATTAAACACTGCGGTCTGAGCAGTCCCAGTCTGCAGTAAGGCTCTGTGAGGTTTTCATGCTTTTGGCACAGTGATTCCATGACTCAGCCTCCTAGACTGGGAGACTCCACACTCCAGGGCTGCAGAGAGGAGGTGGTGTTACTCTGCTCTCTGTCATGCAGACCCAATAAGTGGACGTTTCCACTCAGTGTAACAGTGCATGGGGCATGAGTTATGTTTGAAAAGTTTTACTCTAGCCAAAAAAGGGAAAACAGCACGGTACTATGTCTTTAGTGATAATGCTAGCATGCTTACCTGTTAAAATAAGATGGTAAACATGATGGTGAAGATTGCCTGCTAAACATCAGCATGTTAGCATATTTACAGTAGTATCCAAAAATAAATCCTGACCTTTATCCTACATAAAGGAGACGGGACGTGTCACATTTTGAATGAGGAGTGTCCTTTTTCTCAATTGCAAAAACCTCACTCGTTCTCAGGCGCAGGCATGTCCTGGGGGGGTTATCGAAAACACAATCTTTTTTGGGAGGAAAACATGCATCGATTATGAATTGTCTTGGCTAGCAGTGGTCGGAAGAGGTGGGAAGGGGGTCGACCTAACATGTTGGTTAGCGTGGTAATGAGCAGCACTTCCCAGGCTTCAGGGTTATCCTTGACGCAGATAATGACGGCCGATGGGGACCGCGAGGCTGCTGCGAGGTGTCATTAACGGGGCCTGCACACAACAGGCCAGTTTGTCTGGGACTCGTATGATAAATGGTGGTCGCTCACTCACATGGTGACGTGTGAAGGTTGATGAGCTGCATGCTGGCACAATCTGAAGTAACACAACCCTGGGATTAGCTGTCTTTTCTTTGCTAGATCACATGCTTGTATGCGAGGTCAGGGATCTGTGTGCAGGAAAAGTAATTGTCACTTCCATATCAGCACAAAAGGGTGCGTGTCCTTTTTCTGTGGAGTGCGAGAGAAGTTTGTTTGTTTACATCAGATAAGTTTTGTTTCAGGAGATAGGGAGGGGGGGGGGTTATAATAGCAGGGCGGGGGGTTATAATAGCAGGGCACTTGCTCCCTTCCTGTTGTGCGTTTTGCAGGAAGGAAGTTGCCGGGTCACTCCAGGCTGCTGATTGCTGATTGGTCGGAGGAGGATGTGCAGACTTGGCTCTGTGAGGAAGGACTGCAGGAGCTCGTCAGCATCTTTAAAGACAACAACATCGACGGAGCAGAGCTCAGCCAGCTCAACAAGGAAACAGCAGCAGAGCTGGGAATTGGTGAGGACGGAGTATAAAACACAATCGTGCATATTAGTGTACAGTGTGAACACACACACACACACTCACAGGGACCCTCGGACGCAGTGTTTTTGTGGGGATTTACCGTTTGATCCTAAAACCTGACACGCTTCAATTGGATAGCATGATATAAGCCGTTTCTTCTATTTTTTTTTTATAGATTTATTTTTTCCCCCTCACAACTCTTCCCCAAACAATCTGATTTAGGGACATGGAGCTGCAACGATTCTATCTGCTTATACAATCACAAATCACGCTGTGAGGACAGTACCCCACGGGATGACCTTTACGTCACAAACAATGATAATCTCTCTGAAAATAAGATTAGTCTCTCCAGGGTCGTCCAAGGTCTCAGTGTGGAAAGTCACTGTACAAACTGCAGCTGTGGACAGCAATGTTAGAGCAGCATAGTACAGTAGCTAACAATGTTAATGCTAACGAGCGTCATTGTTTTTGCTTATTATTTTATCCGGTTTCTTACAGGGTTAGGATTTTTACACCTCCATTTTTTATACATCAACAAATGAAATATATGTTAATCCGCAAGTTTTAGAAGTATTTCAGGTGGATTTCACACCTGTGACATCATTATGCACTCCATTTATTGCACCTGTGTCATTAATTCAACCATTATTGAGTATTTCATAAACCATATCATAATCAACCAATCTATGATTTGGTTTAAACACTTTAAACGGCGTATACAAAGTGTTTTACAAAAAAAATATTATTGCTAATAATTAGTTTATACATGCACATCTTATGAATCCAGACTGCAGAAATCATAAACTATAAGTGAAATATGAAAAAAAACAAATGACTGTTTTGATCTCTCACCTTATTTTCCACATTACATGGTCACACACAGTCCTCTGTAGAAAGCACACCTGCTCAAGAATATGATAAAAGTGCACACATCCTCACTGCAGATTAAAACCTAATTATTTTCCGTTGAAATAACACATTTTGATGATTGTTAACCTTGTATTTTGTCTCCTTGGTGTGTGTGCTTTCTAGTAAGTATTTCAGCACTGCCAGTTGACACACTGACTGCATGAATGCCATAAAGCACAGAAAAGCCGCCTTTACTCTGATTACGGGTACTCTGTGCCGACTGTAATCATGTGACTATCAGCATCCCACCCTTAATCGCAGTATAAACGCCCTTCTGGCTATTGTTGCGTTTGCTTTAATAGACACAGTAAAAAAACAACAGTAATGCCGACTTCCCTTGCATGCTGCTGAGTTATGCAAAGCGTGTCCTATGGACTGAGCATCTCTTTTCCATGTGTTTAGTATGGAGGACAGCTCTCATCATTACCAAAGAATAAGGACAGAGGAAACAGCACACTGACACACTTCCTGTCCTTTTCGTGCTGTGCAACCAACAACTATCATTTTCCATGCATGCTGTTTGTGTAAGATGGGTGTGCGCGCATAGACACACAGAAAATTAGATTCAAGCTCACTTTACTTAATGAAATATTCATGAATCTGAACTTCCTCTTGGATATAATTCAGTGTATCTCTGTGGAGACAGCCTCATTCTGCAGTTTTATTGTAGCGTCTCATCAAATTATCAATCTAAATGTAAAGTGGACCGTATAGTACTAATGGCTTCAGTCCTCATGAAATATGTGGGAACTTATGGAAATCCTAAACCTTATAGAGCTGTTAAGTGCCATTTTACTATTCAAGAGTAATTCATGGGATGAATTGAGGGACTTAATAGGTTCAACGTGTGTCATCGGGAGAAGGCATTTTGATTGAGCAACATCCCTTTTCCCGTAGGATTCAAAGTATTTGTGATTGTGACAGCAAGCTGCTGCATCTGCCGTTTCACTTTAAACCTTAATGCAGGGTTTTCAAGGCACCGAGTTCATCGCATGAAGTCTTTGTCCTGTGTACCTGAATGCTTTCCTCCCTCCCATCTCTATTGTGTGCTCTATGAATGAGTGCAGAATTAAGACGGACTCAGAACGTGTCATTTGCTGCAGTAAGAGAACAATCTGATCTGATTGCGAAAGTCTCTGCGCTTTGTTTGAGGCTGATATTTTCAAGGATCAAATCTCTTCAGAACATAGTGCCTCTCTACATCCTGACATGCTGGGGTTATATTTTAACGACACAAATGTTCAAAAAACTTTTTAAATTCAAACTAATAGACACACTCTATTATTCTTAAACAAAACTAAATCTATCCAGAAGTCTCTTCCATAATGGTTAAAAGCACTCATCGTCATCAGTTGCAACTTTAAGCCATACTGTAGTTTTATCACGTCTTCCAAAAATCATCCCTATTGTTCTGGCATTCTTGACATAATAAACCATCTGGTTCTAGGTTTGGAAATTGAGCATCCTCAGCACACGTGAACCAATGACGAACCTCAATACATACACATACATATAATACACTCCTCACACTACCTGTCAGTACTACTTGCAGTTTGAAACTACACCTTGCAATATTACAAGTATCATAGAACTAGAATGAAATATAGACGGGGAAATGGATGGAATTAGTGCGATAGGAGGGATTCTCCAGTCACTAGACAGATTCCCAGAATATTTCTTGGCTCAACATAATTGTTAAGCGGTCTGAAAAAATGTAATTTGTGTGTAAAAACAACATATGAGACACAATCTCTTCAGGATTTTATAAAGCTGGTCAGAGTTTATTTTTTACTGCAGCTGCTCACATTCACTGTATCTCTGCCACTATATGCATGGGCACATCCCTAAACACTATGGCTGTAAAAGTCCTCCCTCCATTGTATCAGGTGGGGAAATTTGCAGCCGACGACAAACTCAAAGGGTCCTGTCAGTGGGCAGAGACATGCAGCTGTGTACAGAGTATTTTTCTCTTCCTCTTTTGGCTCTTTATTAATATCTTTATTCTGGAGTAGAATAATGATAAATGTGAACTTTTAAACTACAACCCACACAAACTCCTCAGGGGGAGACACCTCGCCTGAGTTGTGAGGCAATCATCACACAGTAAACATGTCTGGCTGTCCGTGTCTGGGCACAGATTGATTCAGCCGAGGTCCAGATTTATTCCTGCCTTTGATTTATCTTAGAGGCCAGAGAGAGGACAAAGTCAGTCTGTCGAGTGCCCGTCACTCATTCTGTTCAACAGAGAAAGCACTGATGCATCTTCGTGGATTAACAGTAACATTAGATTTTAGCTGGTTTATGTAAAATACTCAGTCTTTGATCATAAATGAATGCAAATAATCTTTGCATCAGTAAGCACTGCAAGTGATGTAATTTACCAGTTTTACTAAACAGCGTGTTGGTTTCTCAGAGTCCGTGGGCCTCCGCGGTCGTCTTCTGAGGAAAACCGAGGCCTTGAAGGCAGAGCAGAGTGGTTCAGATGACCCAGACGAGTTTCTGTGTCCGATCACCAGAGAGCTGATGAAGGATCCAGTCATTGCTGCAGGTTAGACAACAAATGCTGAAAAACCTGTCCAGTGTCTGTGTGTATAAGGTGTCACACTGTGCGTCTACTCCACAGACGGGTATTCCTATGAGCGAGCATCCATCGAGAGCTGGATCAGGGGCAAAAACAAAACCAGCCCCATGACAAACCTGCTCCTACAGACCACGCTCCTGACCCCCAACAGATCTCTGAAGATGGCGATAACACGATGGAAGTCGAGCCAGTAGACAGCAGCTCATTTTTAGCTTGTTTGCCAACTAAACAGGTACTTTATCATTATACTGGAGCTGCTCATCTGATAAGTGCTCTTATTATCATGAAGTAATTACTAATATTTGATACCATTACTTGAAGCAACACGATGTAACTGAATTAGAAAAAAGACATTTCTTAAATACTAGTTGAATTCACAATAAACTAAACGCACCACTGTTCAATACACTCAGAGTAGCGTATGACTGTTCTCTACTTGTGCTACTGTTAGCTCATGTTGTAGTTCTTCCATTATCCTATAAGGAATGGTCACTTGTGCTGTTCTGTCTCCTACAAATGAAAAGTTCAATTCAGGAACAATAAAGAAAAACCTCAATCTGATTAATACACTCTAGTTGTAGAGTTACTGTAGGTCTGATATGACCATCAAGCGGTGGCTAATGTTAGCTAAACTTTACATAGCTATTGCTGAGTCACTTTGTTGACCATGACCCTTCTCTACTCTTGCTGCTCTTGCACTACATTTTAGCATTTCACAGTTTATCCCAAATGGAAATACAAAAAGCAAACACAGAAATGCATGTGCCGTTGTCCTGTAGTTCCCGTTTGTGGCCACAGAGGCCGCTGTTGAGCAAATCTTAGCCCCGCTTTATTGATCCTTTTTGGCAGCAACCACACGGCTGCACAATGATTACCCTCTTTAGGCTCATGATAATCATTAAGTCCTCTTACCTTGGGCAGACTTGTGTGTTGGAATAAAAGTCAGTAGAGCTGTTTGTTTTTTCCTCAGTGGGTCTTTATTTCTCTCTCCCATGGTGGCTATGGCAGTAATGTTCTATGACAGTATGTGATCACAGCTAATAAAGCTCACAATACTGAAAACATGGCAACAATTGCATTTAACGTACATATTAAAATAGAGCTGATGGCGCTGCACCCCAAAACCTTTTCTGTTTTTATAGATTTGTTTTTAACTGTGATACAAACTGCAATTGTAGCGTACACTTAAACTCAACGGTATCGAGAATCATTAAATGTCTTATTAGCTGTGCAAAAATAACTATATAAAATATATTGCTTTTACAATTAACGAAGCCATTGGCGCTGTAAATAAATTAAACTAGACAGCAACAACAAGCCGATACAGAAAGGATTTCAATTCAATGTTAATGGTGATTATATAATGTACAAACACATTTAACAAATGGGGTTTTTTTTTAGAACCTTTAACAACATTGTGCATAAAACTCAAAATACACAAGTCTCAATTTGTCAATACACTTAACATAGATCTTCACAGAAAAGAAGGAAAAAATACATATTTATATAATATACACAAGAGGATCTATAACATCCTTCGTAAAACACAGGAATGCCTGTTCTTACACCTTCACTGAGGACTCTTCTCTCAGCACCATGGACGTAATGAACACAGTTCAAACCCCATTTCACTCTCCCTAAACTGTTTCTTTAATAACATTATGCTGCAACTGAATATGTTGTTTAAGCACTTGAGCGGCCTAAGTGTGTATAAAGTGCTCACTGTCACCGTTGCGTTGATGAGGACTGTACACTACATGTCCAAATACTTCCTTCAGTGCAATGTCTCCAGCTTGGCTGAATGACGGCCGACATGTTGTCATGTAACAGAAGCTGACAGCCACAAGCGACAGGTCGGGAGGAGAAAAAAGAAATCTGGAGCATTCAGTACACTGCCTGCAGTCCGTGTATTCACACAGGAAAACAAACGGCTTGCAGACTGCACTTCATGCAAGGCTTTAAAAGAGAGACTATTGGGTTTGGGGTTGGTTAAAAAGAAATGAAACAACTCCTCGCTTGAGATCTTTGCTTGTTTGTGTGCGCTGTGGACTGTATGAAAGATAAAACAAACATCTCTACACATTCGACTCTATAAATGATCGCTTTGGTTTCATTGAAGCTCCGTGTATGGCGGGATTATCTCGGGCGAGGCCAGGCTGCTTGGGTTTGCTGTCCATGAACGAGTGCGGCATCGCCATCGCTGGCTTGGACTCTTTGTAACAGTTGGCGGCTTGGCAGAACTTCTCCGTGAATTCCTTGGCGTGCATGCCGTTTTGTAAGCTACTCATCGCCATAGCACCCTGAGGTGGCGGAGGTTTGTGCTGCTCCTGGTAAGTGCTCACTGTTTTGGCGTACGGCAGCTCACAGTCGACGGGCAGCAGCCCCATTGCTGACATGTTGTGACACACTAGACCGTCAGACGAGTGGTTCAGCCAGCTGCGGCCCGCGGACTGCAGACTCGGGTAACTTTGCAAACCGTGGTGCTGCTGTTGAATCTGCTGCTGCTGTTGAATTTGCTGCTGCTGTTGAATCTGCTGCTGCTGTTGAATCTGCTGCTGCTGTTGAAGTTGGAGGAAGCGTGCCGTCTTGTCAATTATGCCCATGAAGGGTCTGGGTTTGTACTCCGGTGCAGAACCGGCCTGTTGGCTGTGCTTCGTTTTGTCAGAGATCTTGGTGCGGACATCGGGGCCCAGCTTGCCGCTGTCCGACAGACTGCTGCTGGACGCCAGGCTACTGGTGGAACTGGACACGCGCATGCTGCCGCTGCTGCCGCCTCCCTGGGATCCCATTGCACCACACATCCCTTCCTTTCCTGGGTCAGTGTGGTTCCCCTGAGGTCCGGGACCAGAGCAGGCCAAACCATCCAGGGAGGACGCAGAGTGGACAGACAACCGGTCTTGCCCCTTGCTGCAGGATGAGTAGGAAACCTGGGAGGAATGAAGGCTCTCGTTTTCACAGCTGTGACCCGTGGAGGCAGAGGCGGAGGCGGCCGCCAGCGACACGCGGTTCCCGTACACAGGCTCGTCAGCTGGGGGTGGCAGAGGGCTGATGTCGATGCCTGGGCCCGGCTTCAGCATGCTGGACATGTGTCGGCTCGGTAAGGGACTGGAGGGAGCGTACTGAGATCTGGCCCCTGCCACGCGGCCCCCCGCGGCTCCTCCCCCGACCTGCATTGAGCTCATATGCTGGTTGGTCTTGACTATCTGGGCTTGCTTGGTTGGCTGCAGGACCAGGCCCTGCTGGGCCAGCGCCTCCCGGTGCTCTCGAGGGTACCGGTGGGGGGGAAGCCTGCTGGGGCCTGGGGGTGAGCTGGGGCTCAGACTCTGATGTCCCAAACTGTTGCTGACAGCTGGCTCAGGGGGTACGACTCTGTTGTGGGAATAACTGTTCTGTGACCAGCAGGCTTCAGTTGTTCTGTCGTGCAGCGAGGCCTCTGGCTCCTCCTCCTCCTCCTCCTCCTCCAGGATGTCTCTTTGTCCTTCCATGCTCCTGGCAAGGCTATGCTCTGAAGGGTCCTCCTGTCCTTCATCTTGCTCCTGGTCCGACTCGTGGCCTCCAGACGCCTGGCTTGAAGCAGCTGCAGCCCCAGCGACTCCTTTAGTCTGAGCGCGCTGCATCTGTTTACACTCGTCTTCTACTCGAGCCAGCAAACGACGGATTTCCCGGTTATTGGGGCACAGCTTGGCTGCTTCATGCAGGTCAGCCAGGGCCGCTGTAAACTGCCTGTGGGATCGGAGAAAGAATGAAGAGAAACATTGTTATCGGATCCAGACAACATAATTCACCACTAATAACGACCACAGGAGCTGTTCTGGAGCTCAGTAGTTTACCTGCTGCTTCTTTTAGCTCTCGCTCGGGCGTAGTAGGCCTCATAGGATTTGTGTTTCAGCTCCAGCGCTTTCGTTGCAAACTCCTCAGCCATCCCAAAATCCTACAAGAGGAGCAGAATCAATAAATCAGTGAGCCAAATGATATTCAAGCTCGATTTCAATCACAGAAATAAAGATTCTAGAATACACAGCGCACACGTTTCGTCTTTGTTGCTCATTTTATTTATTGCTTTCAAACTAAGTAACGACAGCATTTGACCCATGCTACATCTCCAGGCACCCCGGGTGCTGTTACTCTAGAAACACACAACAGACGGCCTCGTGGTTTGCTACAAACGTCTTCCTGCTACATTTGTAACTAAACGAAGACTAGACGAAGACTTGTGTAAACAAACTTTTAAGAAGAGCGTTTCTGTAGAAACAATTATGCAGAAACAGCTTAGAAATCCTCATGTTTGCTTCAGTCATTTTTAAAAAAATGTCCAGTCCTCCTGCAATAGTTATGAATTCATCAATCTGTGAAATCTCTTCTCAGCACAGAAACTCTGGCCGAGTGAGCAGACAGGCCGGCACATGCAGGAATCGAAAAGATTTGAGGAGATTTGAGTCCACTGCCCACTGGGCTTGTAGCTTCCTCCCTGTTACCATCTGAACACTAACGAGCTTCCCCTGCCCACACATGCTCAACTCATTCCACAAGCTGGAGGCTTAGTCACCGATTTATCTTTGCCTAAAACATTGCAAAACAAATACTTCTCAGAAAAATTTAGACTTTTGATAGGACTAATGGTTGACAACCATTGCTGGAAGTGTAAAAGTGAAAGAAGGACTTTTTTTCCCCTTTATGTGAGAATGTTCCTTCGATTCTTTTTCTGGAAACAAGTTAAGTATCAGCGCGGTTGCAGAGGCCACTGGCAGAATCTCCCCAGCTGTGCTTATTAGGAGACTGGACTCTTCTACCACCAGGTGTAACTTTTGGACTCGCACTGGCAGACTATTGCTGCTTCAAGGATCGTTCTCTGCCATTTGAAGAGCTAGACAAAAAAAATGGTCTTGCTGAATGTTTAAAATTGATGACAGACATTGCCCCTTTTGAAGCTCTAATTACCAGGACTAATAACTATTGTTAGATTTTTCTTTTCACTTGTCTGATGAGATGTGGTCTCTTCTCTTACTTATTTTTCAGAGTTCTACTTTAGCCATTACGTTTGCATGTATTCAAATAGTTAATAAAACAACTTTAATTACAGAAAAACGTGTATTCTTCAGCAAATATTAATATATTGATGCCCCCATGATACTCATTACTCACTTACAAATAAAACTGGTGAGTGAAACGCCTTGTATAAACAGTCATTAAAGGATCGAGCTAAAAATAGCAGCACTGGCTGAGGAACAAAGACAAAAGTGGAGTGTCACTTGAGAGGCTTACATTGGTTTTTCTGCGACAGCGGGAGAGATTGAGGTACAGAGAGACCCTCAGGTCTTTAAATGCCTTCAGGTCGTCGCCAAAGCCTTCTCTAGGAAACTTCCTCAGGGCGTACTGGTACCTCTGGGCCGCCTCCTTCATCTTCCCTTTCTGGAGGACACATGGAGGGCAAACATGCAGTGAAGAAGAGGACAGAACCAGAAGGAGAACGTGGGGGGAGAGGAGAGAAGCAGGGCAGAGGTATCCGCCAGATACTCCTGCAAAGCTGTTCTCCGGCTTGAGCCGTCCCTTCTCATCAATCACACACACACACACACACACACACACACACACACACACACACACACCTGACAAGTTTATCCTTTCTCCCACAAGCTCGATCTGCTAAATGTTCGGCATCGATCATGGCTCCTTTTGTTAAGTGGTGCGGAACATACACATCTATTCATTTTCTGCATTTAACTGAGCTAGACAAAAGGATGGTTATCACTTCAATGAAATCACCTAATAATAACTCAGTACAGCTGGGTAGATCAGGAACATGAAACCTTTCATTGAGACAGAAAAGTGCTTTGGAAAGTATTTGATTTACCTTGTAGAGTAGGTTTCCCTCCTCCATCAGCTTCTGAAGGAGGATGATCAGGATGTCAGGCTTGGAAGTAGCCATGGCCCAAGCTGCGTTCCCTGTGGATGCAAGAGGGGAAAGAGAGAAGAAGAGAGGCGGGTCATGTTGTTGTTACTGGTGCCAACAGGAGGTCACTGTATTCTCTGGAAATTGGTACAAGGTAAAGTTACCTAAAGATTGTACCTGATCGATCGTAAGGTGACGTTCTGTAGCCTTAGTTTATTGAAGGCGGTTAAGATAGAGTTAGGAGGGAGAGAGCGGAGAGAAAAGAGGTCATGCAAGAGAAGTCATTGGTAGTGAAAGGAAGTGTGACCATATATAATTATGTGTCAATCAACTTGAAATGGCCTTTGCATTTTCAGCAGTGAATGCATGCAGAGTTTTAAACTGTGCAGAAAGAAAATGAAAGGGTTCTACACATGACTTTTTTTTTTTTTTTTTTTTTCTGAGATAAGCCGCAGACCCAGATAGCTCTATGAATGTCATTCAGGTGATAAGTCACATTCTTAAATTAGCCAAGCAGAGCATGAGGGAGAAGCGGAATGACACACACAGACACGAGTAAAAGTGAGCACACACACACACACATGCTGAACAGCGAGTGAAAATCAGGAATGGAAACAGGGTTTCTCCAGAACATTCCACGAAAATTAAATCTGATCTCATTCTTAGCACCGTGAGATACCGAGCAGACAGAAACGAACTTGACTCTGTGTTTGTTGATACGTGAAAAAAATTCGCAAACCAAAGACACTTTCTATCGACCACAGGAGTAGCAGCTGACTAAGTGGTGAACGAATGAACTGACAGCACAGAGTATCTGCACCAGCACCAGTAGGTTTCACACCTGGACATAGAGGGGAAAGAAAAGCTTTTGTGCTTACCCAGCTTGGCCCCTTTCTTCAGCAGAGTCACCACCACCGACGTGTTCCGACAGCCTATGGCTCTGTCCAGAGGCCTCATCCCACTGTAGTCTACATGCTCTATCACTGCTCCTCTCTCCACCAGATACTGGACCTACACGAGAGCACCAACAGTTAAAAAACTCGGTGTTGACAGTCATGAGCTGGCCTAACGCAGAACGGTATGTTTCCAATAATGGCCAAGAGACGCTCTCAGTTAAGGCTAAATGAAGTATGGTGTGTGGTGTTTTGGGGCGTTTTAAACTATTTCCACTTACAATCTCTGCATCTCCATAGAAGGCAGCAAGGTCCAGCGGAGTCCGTCCATTCTTGTCTGTGTGGTCGATGACCGCACCTTTCTCCACCAAAAACTGCACTACGTTCTTGTGTCCTTTTAAACATGCCCAGCTCAGGGGGGTCAGTCCCTCCTTGTCCATCGAAGTCAAAGATGCACCTTTGAAACAAAACAAAGGGCATTAAATACTTCATATTCTCACATTCCGCTAATTTAATACAGCCAGCCAATACGTGTTCACTGCCTGGTCATTTCCCGGTGAATGACGGTATTAGCGGTGGATGCTCTGTGGCGCTGATGTTGTAGCTCACCTTTAGAAAGCAGAAACTCTACGGTGCTCAGGTGACCCTCGCAGGCCGCCACCATGAGTAGGGTCCTGCCCTGCTTGTCGCTGATGTTAATATCAGCACCGTGCTGCAACAGCAGCTCTGCAATCTAGGAAACAAGTCGGTCAGTGACCAGGCATCAAACACATCCAGGTGCACAGAGATCACTCTAATCAGTTTGTTTCAGCAAGGACACATGACCGTGTGTCAGGTAACAATTAGACCAGCGATAGCTCTAAGGGCGGGACATAAAAGTCGACCTATGCAACAATACAACAGCACACACGGTTCCTTAGAAGAAGACAATGGTGAGGTGTAATTGTGGTTTGAGGCAGTGTGTTTGCTGTGGACACAGAGGGATAGTTTGTCTGACGCAAAAGAGCAACTCGGCGCGTCTCACCTGCCAGTGTCCCTGTCTGACGGCGCAGAATAGAGGAGACACCCCCCGCCGGTTGACCTGCTGCACCACCGCCCCCTGCTCCAACAGGAAGCTGCAGACCTCCATCTTCCCCCGGCCGGCTGCTGCCGTCAAGGCTAAAGAGAGAACGAAGGAGGAGCTGTTAAAATCTTTATTTAGATCTGTACAGAGGAGCAACTTAAGGTAAGGATACAGCACAGTGGTGAGATAGGAGTGGAATGTAAAGCCTCACACTTAACGCTAAGCCAGAGAGGATACAGTGAAAATGACAACATGTACAGTACACAGACACTTATTCTGTGCACGAGCAGCATCAAGGGTCTTTAGTAACCCAAGTGTGTGGAAAAGGAAAGACTTGGCTCTCAATACTTGTTCGCAATCCCAGAATCCCTCCTGTTCTTCAAAGACGAGCAGAGAAAAGGCGGCTAATGCTTGGTGCTAATTGAGTTTAAAAACAGACAATTACGTTACGCTTATTAAACTTATTAAAATTCTGCCCGCGAGCTCCCCGGGCCTTGTACAGAGAGAGACGAGAATCCACTCATTTTACGCATCAGCAGACAAACATTAGAAAACAAAGTCAAACACTTGTGCTAAACACACGTTCTTATTTATATGTTGTATCTTTTTCAGAAGACGATTAAGTGGATTTAACTGTGTCTGATTCATTTCTAAGAAAAAGAAGAAAATGTGTGCTTTGTATTCGGGTTCTGTGAAGAAATCAAAGACAGATTCTTGAAATGTTCAACGCTCGCAGTTAATCGGCTGCTGCTGGCGTACGGCAGCAGATGGGCCGGTCTTAAATGAGCGCTGGTTGTGAAAATAGAGTGAGATCCGCCATAAGAATCGCAAAACAGCTCTGCTCTCATATTCACCTCGGAGAGAGTTGAGGTGCCGCCGAGCCTCCATATCTGACTGACATCATCCATCTGGATGAACAGTCATGAGAGCCAAACAACCCCACCCCTCCATCTGCTCCAGAGATGGAGATCCTCACACGCAGCTCGGTGAAGAACGATGATTCTGAGAAGCTAAATTTAGGCTGCGTTGGGGCTCCAGAGAGCAACATCAGCAGCACCCTGGGTTACACTGAACAAACTCTCAGCAGCTGTGCAGTTGTTGACGTTAAAAGTGACGCCTGTTTTTACATCACACCGTGTATTCTCAGAAGTATTCCATACGTTCCCATATCTTCATGTTAAGATGGTATTAACACTTTTTATTGATGGAGCATCTCAGCATCCCTACTCTTCAGAGAAGGAGCTCCCTTTTCCACATTTGGTCATTTATTGTTTCAGTTTGACTTGCCACTTCCTGTCTAATCTTGCCTTATTTTATCTTATCACGTGTGTTGTAAGCTATTCATCAGCCTTGTCTCAACTCTGCTCTTCCTACTCGGGTAGACCACCTTCAAAGCCGCCTTGACAGTGTCCTCAGGAGGAGACTCTGAATCACCATCTGATAAAACAGATTTACAAAGTAAACACATAATAATGTCCTTATCCACCACCACTCCACTACTAGGCTGGAGAAAGCCAAGACATAAACAACAACGAAGAGGTTGCAGATCCATTAAACAACATGGAGCTGTTTTACCAACACTGATTAAAGGCTCTAAATAAAGAAATGTAACCAGAGTTAGAGGAGGATTTTTTCATTCTGGACTTGCTAATGTCATACTTTATCAGTAGTTTAGTTTCTAAACTCATAAATAATTAAGTATGATTCGATTATGGACCAAATGTCTATTACAAAAGGTTACAGGCAACTTATAAAAAGGCAACAGTGAAACATTGATTTTCGTTGCCTTTGCCTGGAGACTTCTACATAAGAAATGCATTTATGCCGAGCACACAAGCATTCTTTGCCTCCCCCTCTGTAAACCAAATGTAAATATTCTATTATCTGAAAAGTTTTCGTTTACATTCGACCGCTCCACATTGAAAGAAAGAAATCAGTGACGAGAAAAGGAGCTAAATTTCCCGCAGGCTCATGAAGGCAAAGTTAGATTATCTATTTATTTAGGAGCATTGATTTATGCATCAACTTCCTGTTTGGAGGAAGAATCTTTTCTTCAAAACGCCGATAAATATAGCCTGTGAGAAATGTATCTTTTCATCTGTTAACACAGGGTTGGCTTCAGCGCTCATGGTAAAATGCAGGTGTTTGTCACTTGATGCGAGAATAAAGAGCATCTTTTCCCCAGGCACCTGAGCAGACCCACAAATAGCTGCCTGGGTTAGCTCATGCTGTGCTCTTGTTGTACAGTAGAGACACTTGCGCTCTTTGTACACATGAAATAATACAGCAGTGGATGAAAAGACCTGGAGTGCATTTTAAATATATTTAGAATGTGTCCCCTGTATTTAAGCCATTCTGACTACAGTGTTAAGAGCAGAGCGCCGTTTTCTCCACTAGCTTAAGACCCCTCGAAAGAACGCGAGATCAGCACGAGCATACAAACTCAACAAAGACGAGCACTGTCCACCAAATGAATGCTCAATTCCAAAGAAAATTGGGATCCTATCTCAAATAAAAGAAATACATATATTCGTTTTTTTAAGATGCTTATTAAAATGACAGAGGACGGTCTATACCCATCGTACATTACAGGGGACAGAAACAACATAATGATCATAAAGTGATCCACGATTTACAAAAGATTACTCTCCTGCAACACAAGGACTTGTTGACCTTTGCCTTGAGACAATCCTCCTGCTGTGTTTTCACCTCAATGATTCTTTGCAGGTAAATTATTCTTTGCATAATAAAGAGTTTTACATCCTAAGAGGGGATTTTAAAAGATGGAGATTCCACAGATGTGCAATTCAATCTGCCTCCATTTTAAACACAGCAGACAGTGGGTCTATTTGCATAGAGATGTAATATTCCATTGAATTTTAAATATGAAATACATCTTCCCAGAGACGGGTTGTTATCGGAGAGTTGTTTTGGAGACAGCGATGAATGGGCGGTTTCAGAGGGGATATTGCAGGGACTTTGTCGGTTTTAGCATTCTCTGCATCAGAGCGCAGACTGTTACCAGGTCGGGTTATTAAATTTGCACGCTGAATGGTAGAAAAGGGATTTGAAGTGAAACCGAGATTTAATATAGTGCTGCTCATATCTGTTATTTGCATCCAGCAAACAGTCATGGGCACAGTCATTTTCCCCGTCTTTAGTGATCTCCTCTACAAAGCTGCATCTCTACCTGTAATACACCACTAAATGTTCATTATACGTCTGCAGAAAATGCAGGGTTTTTTTTACCCCCCACCCCCCCCACCGAGGAATATTTCAGGGGGACGACTCTTCGTCCCAGGACTGTAATAAGGTCTGAAGTCCTGCAGTCATTTAGCAGGACACAAGCACCAGTTAACCACAGTGTGGACAGCCTCTCCGCTAACAGGCTGACCTACATTCCTGTGGCACCAAACTTTTTGCTAATAAATCCTGCTGGCTTTAAACTGACACAGACATAAAGAGACTATTATTAAAATTCTCCTTTTGTAACAATCTATTCTGGTATGATTGTGATTGTGTACAAAAAAAAAGCATCAAACGCTAAACGAGAAGGGGTACGATATGAACATTTATAGCTTGGATTGCTTGAGTCTCAAAGCAAAAGCTCACATCGAAGATGAGAGGCAAACATTTTAAATGTGTCCAATACTTCAAAAAGTCACGACAAATATTGCAGCTCTAAGCCTGCATGTGTCTTAGATAATATATCACAGCCCATTTCTAAGAAATATTTTTAGGTTTTAAACTCAACATTAATCAGGCAGCAGCACAAACTAACCAGAGAGGAAAAAAAGGTTCCACTAATGTCAACAACTAAATCTAAGTGGAATATAAACAATATGTAATTCGTAAATGTTTCTACCTAAACGTGGTCTTCAATATATACAACATCTGGCGGAGTAACTTCAAAATGTCCAAACTGTTGGCAATATCTTAACATAGAGCCCCCAAGGGATACTGGAGCTGAAGTCCAGCAGCATGTTGGGAAATCTTTGTTCAAAGGAAATGCTGTGTTGACTCAAAGTAGAAACCCACATGAGCCACAATAAGTCAGGCTTTTACCAGAAAGCCCAGGAAAACTTGAAACGGCCGTAAAAATGCATACACATTTGGGATGAGCGACCTCCACATCAAACAGAGAAGCACTACTTTGCAGAAGAGGAGAGAGATGCACGACCCTCCACTGCAGCATGCAATAACAGCAGCGAGGTCTGGAATGTTAAAACAGCAGGTGATGATACAAGGGAGCCACCTAATGCAAAAAGATGGATGAAAACATACCTGTCTCTCCCCACAGAGTGTCATGGCTATCAATTTGCACAGCATGCTCATTATTCAATGCCAGCAAGCCTCTCACAACCTGCCAAAAAAAGAAACTTGGATTAATGGCATACTGTTTCAGCATAAGATATCAAATAAATCTTCAAGAGGTGATACAACATGCTAATTTCGTTGAAGAATGGCAACCAATGGGATACCGCTGGCTGAGAAAAGTCTTATAAATTAATCACAGCAGACTAGAGGGCCGCTCGTCCCTGAACCACTGCAGGGGGGTTATGTGAGCTGAGTCCAATCTGATTAATACTTTGACTTTAACGGGGTCTCCTTCTACATGTGGGTTGACAGCTTAGCTTGGCCCAGTTCTGTTATTTCTGAGCCGGGCCTCAGGATCCCATTCCGACTAATGAGGAAGCCAAAATAAACCTTAAGCCTGCATCACACCTGGGCATGCGATCCCTGAATCCTGCCTTCAGACATACACGGCTCAAGTCTTCTTCACTGAGAACAAGATGTAGTCAGATTGTCTCTGTAGCTACCTCTGCTTTCTGGAATATTTTGTGGAAGGTTGTTGTGAAAACCCACAGGGAAGGATAGCGGTGCTGCTGTAAAGTAAGTATTAAACGTGGTGTGCATTTTCGAAAATGTTGTGTTTTGTATGCGTTTTGTGGCTCTTACGTTTCTTCTTTCAAATATATCTCTTTTTGTAGTAATTAAAGATTCTCTAACATATCCTCAGGTCCATTCATTGTTTTTACTGTACGTGACGAGGGTGCTGGAGGTAAAACATGTGCATGTGTGTGTGTGTGAGAATCAGACCTGTGTGTGTCCCATGCTGGACGCCGCTATCAAAGCCTGCTGCAGAGCTTTGTTCTTCAGGGCACAATCCTGCTGCTGCCCCTCAGCACTCCATTCTACCTCCAGCAGGTACTGGATAATCTCTGGGTGTCCTCGGAGAGCAGCGTGGACCAGAGCACACTGGCCACTCTTATCTACATGATCAACCTGGTGGGAATAAAACATGGTTAGTTGTACCAGGGATAAATGTACTGTATGTTGGAATAGCTTTTGAGTTATGTACCGCAGCAATGCGGCTGAGATAAGTCTGTGCAGAAAGACACGACTTTAGCCTGAAAACAGTTCAGTTTCGATATTTCTAACGCATCTTTATTCATAAAAGGGCTCCTCACCTGGCCTCCCCTCTTGCAGAGCAGCATGACTAGTCCTAAGTGTCCTGCAGCGGCTGAGAAGCAGAGGGGGTTCATGCCATTTTCAGACACCACGTCAACGCTGGCGCCAAACTCCAGCAGCAGGAAGGCAATTTCCTGGTGACCGAGGTGGCACTGGACGCAAAGCACCGGCGCGTTGTTCAGGACCTCTGTGCGGTAATTCACGTTCGCACCACCAAGCATCAGCAGACGGCTCACCTGATTGTGCAAATGAAACGCAAAACACAGACAGCTGGTGTTGGAACAATGTTATCAAAGTGTTACCACTTGTGCACTTGTGTATTATCTGAAAACAGTTCCTCATTTATAAGCCCTCTGATGTAAAAGGTCTTTTAATGTTTCCTTTTAACTGAGCTGAAGAAGAATGTAATTGCAAAAAGGAGGAAACATAAGACAACATTCTGTAATGCTGTGATTTCAAAGTAAAATCACCTGGCTGTATTTAACCATGTCAAGTCAAAGGCAATTTGATTTACTGCATCCAGCCACATATCAGAAATCAAAAGTTTGCCTTAAGGGGCTTTACAGTGAGTAGAGCATACAACACCCTCTGTCCTTTTAAAAAAGGGAAAAAATGGAAGAAACTTCAAAGAGCAACAGATGAGGGATCCCTCCTCCAGGACGGACAGACGTGCAATAGATGTGTGTAAAGAATAGACCAAAATAGCAAAAATGCAACATGGAAAATCAGGATGACAAAATCATTACATTAAAACATTTATGAAGGATATATGTGAAGGATCACGTGAATCCTTATGCACTCATGATTCCTCCTCTAATGTCCCTGAAGTACCTTCAAAAGGTAGGTAAAACATAAATTCCACACTATTCACGATATCAATCAAAGGGATAACAGAACTTCTTGACTGACTTTAAAATAATGTCGCATGAGTTTGTTGGATGTGCATGTGAGGCGTAAACCATTTTCTAAGAATTTGTGAACAGCAGGTACAAGGACTAATTTAAACAGCATCAGAACCTAGAGCTCAGGCTCTTACAAAACATTAGATGCTCTCCACCTAATGTCAGTGCAAACGTGTTTATTGCTTTAGCTTCAGCTATTTTTCTCCAAGCAAAGGTCAGGCACCAAATGAAGTGGTCACATTCTACTGAATGCAATTATTAAGTGAGTTATTCTCGTCCTCGATGAGGAAATCAATAATGAATGCTTAGTCAAACAGAACCACGGAGCCAAATGACTCTCCGACAAAAGGAAATGAAACTGCAGATTTTTCGTTGGATGTCCGATGTGGAATGAATTAACACAAATTTTGTGTTTTTTTCCCCAGAGGACAGAACGAGGGGAGTCTGTAAATGTCTCTTTGAGTGATGTTCTGCTTACACACAATAACTCGCAAATGGACATTGAGGATGACAACGAGTGATGGAATATCACTGAAATACTATAATATGTGAAATAATTCAGCTTCAAGGCAGAATACATCATTGTGACATAATCTAGGAAAGGCCAATGCCCCCCCCCCCCTCTCAAAACATAACTGGAAGGGCTCCAAAAGCAACAAACCATGCGAGGAGTCAAAAGTGACACTGAATATCTGAATAAATACAAAAGTTAAATACTAAAGTTTATATTCACAGTAAAACAAAGCTTATTCTTGAATTATTCTCTGACCCTCATCCTTTGCTGACTCCTCAAGTTTCCTATTTTCTTCATCCTGGTGCACATTTCATCAACTTTCCAAATTTCCTGCAAACATTTTCAATTTTCTGTGTAGCTGTTATGAGAATAAGAATGCCCGGGAAATATCTGACACATGAATGGCTAATCACCGTGTGAAACAAGCAACTACTTGAAATATTATTAAGCTACAAGATATCAATTATTTTACATTTGGCCAAAGATGCAAACTGAATGCATCTGCCTTCTTTTCTTGTCTTCTTGGGTCCAAATAATCAGTTGGAATCCAAACACTTAGAATTAACTAACGTAACACCGACGCACTCTTTTCACTTGCTCTAGTCTACTCATTGCTTACATTAGCCACACACACCCTACATCAATCATTGTCCTGAACATAGTGAGACACGTTCTTATCATTATCACATAAGTACAAATGGGACATATTGTCAGAAGGACAAGAAATGCCAAAAGAGGGTAATGTGAGACAAATGCGAATTATTGTGAAATGTTATGAGAAAATGGGAAATGTGAGGAAAATAGCAAATGCTTCAAGAAGAAAAATTAGGCTTTTATATTTTTTTACAATCAGCCTGACTCTAATTATTTTTATATTAATCTACACCTTTGCCTGCCAGTTAATGGTTTTTAATTTCAGCCTTAGGGACGAGAGATGGCCATGGATCAAGCTAATGGTAAGAAACGGGAGGAATCGGTCTGGGCCGATGAGCATCCTTGTACTGCTTTTTACGGCAGCTTGAAAAGTTAATCTGTTCTGAGCTCACGTTCATCCCCATAAGTATGTGTAAAGAACAGAGCGTGACATTTATAATAATTCACAACTTAATTGCCATCTGTGGAATTGCAAGAGCGTTCAGGGAGGACATTTAAGTTCTTCAGATGTCACTAATAAAACCATGTATACTAATCATCGGTTTGATTTGAGAGTTTTAGGGACATCATTCTGGACTTTTTGATGAATCAATCAATTAACTATTACCAAAAATCAAATAATTATCAAAATTAAAGTAAATACCGGATTCCAGAGTGATGTCCACAAATTGCTTAAACACCCGGTAAAGTATTGAGAAGATGGAACCAGCTGATGTTTCGTCATCTAATCGGCTGCTGGGCTGATTGTTTCAGGTCTAACTGACACACAGGAGCTGGAGCGGAGCTGGAGAACACCTTTACCTTGACGTTGGGTGTGTAGAGATTCCTCAGGGAGGCCAAGGCTGCAGAAAGGCCGTCGGCACTGCAGCTGATCCACAAAGCCTGCAGCACACTGGATGACACACCCGTTCTCTTACTCAGGCCCTGCACACACACATAAACACACACAAACACACACCACTGCATATATGAATACACAAGGATTTAAACACGCATACATAAAGTCAATGGACTTGAGGTGAACAAGTGTTCCTCTTCTCATCTCGTGGCGTATCCTCTGGTGAACTACACTCAAACATGAGTAAGTAAACAGAGAGTGAACACTTCCCAGAAGGGCTGGATTGTGGATGAATGCAGAGAGCATGTATGGGCTTCCTTAGCTGTACCTTGAAGATGTGTGCTTTGAGGATGTGGTGTCCCAGCTCCATCGTCTGCTGACGATTAAGTTTCCCCTCTTGGCGGGAAAGCATGAAAGCCATAAGAGCATGACCAGTCCTGGACGAGGAAACAACAGAGACGACACTCAGCTATATACAAAGAATAGGTAACAAACAGAAGGACAGCAGAACACCAGGAGACCTACGTTTTCCTGTTGCTCATAATATAGTCTCATCTGGTCTTTTGCTTCAGCATAAACTTTGGATGCCATTTTTTTTTTTGCAATATGTAAATCTACTGATGCATCGGTGTTCATCTGCCCCACGTCAACATGAAACTGCTCATTCATTTTGGTCGTGAAGAGCACCTTAACGAGTGAGTTAGGTATGAATTCAGAATACCCCCATGAAGGATGGGGGAAGAGTGTAAAACCCCGGGGTTCTCCTTTCAATCTCCACTCAGACACTCTGCCATTAATGAATGCCGAACTTCATTAAAAGGACATGCATGAATGCAGATCACTTTGATCTGGTTAAAATTATCTCTCTTCGTGCCCTGGCGCAGACAGAGAGGCAGCGAGGCAAGCTTTTGTCAGCATGTGCATTCCCTGTGCCAGACTCTCGAGTCTTTGTTCGGTAATGACGGAAGTTGGAAGGCTGTGAATGAGCAGAATATGAAAGCTGGTCCATTTAGAAACACCACTGTGTGAGCAGAGGTGATACTGAGGCGCATCAGGGACGGAAAAAAAAAAGCACGGCAAAGTGACATCATCCAAGTTATATATTGTGAACGACTGAAGTCTCTAATGTGGGTGAGGGAGGCTCCAGAATTACAATTAGGTAGCATTACTAAAGCAGATACGGCCGTCTCACAGGGCGAGAAGGAAACGGAAGGAACCAATGAGAAGTCTCTGCAGATTGAAACATTTTTCCATAATAAAAAGGTATTCGTAGTTTTCAGCTTTTAGTGAACAGGGACACGTTGGCAGGAACACACACTAACAAACAGACTTTTAACAAAATGTATCCCGTATATTTGACTCTGTACTCTGTGTGTCAGTAGTGTTCTTGTGAATGTTGTTTGCTCGTGAAAAAATAAAAAATAAAAGTTGCAAAACAGTACATAATAGCGACTGCATTATAAAAAAAAAAGTGGGTTGTTATGTTTCCAACAAACACCTGGAACATCTCAAAGCCAATGTCCTCGCTGACTCCAAACATAAGAATCATTCTGCACTTATTGAGGAGAACTTACTTCTCTACACACAAAGTCCTTCACGTCAGCGTACTAGTCATGCAAAGTGCTGGCCTTGATTCACATACTATTAAGAACTAATTCAGAACCCCAAGTAGAAACTTCAGGGACAAATAACATGATTATTTTTCATGAGTGCCGTCTGCATAATATTTGTACTCAAAGGGCTGAATTCTAAACAGTTTACCAAGAAAGGAATGCTGTGAGGATATTGTGAAAAGCCTCCTACGATGTATTAATGTGCCTACTGTAATGCAATTATCATCATGGCCTGGTTTGTACTTCCCTACAGTGTTTGGGGATCTAACTGTGATGCACTACAGACTTGTCGTGCCTGTTAAACCTCCCCACAATCCTTGGAGGAGAACTGATGAGTTACTGCATTAGCTTAAAAAGGGCAAAGAGGACTGACCTGGGGTCACAGAGGAAGTCTGTGCTCTCTCCATCGGCTCTCCACACCAGCCACTCTCTGAACGAGGGGTGGCAAAACATGCGCGTCTTGTCCCGCCGTTTGATGAGGAAGCACGAGAGCAACTCCATGCGCTGTTGGAAGTCCTCCCATTGCAGCTCCCCTTGGACGAAGACGGCGTTGATGGCCTGGAACAGCTGTTCGTCCGTCATGGGGTGCAGCGAGGCGAGCGCCACATCGAGGATGGGCAGTGAGCGCTCGAAGGCCGAATTGGTCATGAACTTCATGTTGCACTGTAGCTGGTAGAGCTCGGCCAGCGAGACGGGCACCACTTTGTAGCCGGCGCTCTTGATCACCAGGTGACCTCTCTCAAACAGATCCAGGGTGAGTTTGAGATACAGGTAGGAACCCTGGCTGCGGGAGATCAGGTGGCTACTGAGCTTGCCAACTGTGATCGGGTCGGCCTTGCCGTTCAGGCTGATATTGTTCATGATGTCCTTGCTGCCATTGATGCGGTACTGGATGTACGCGTTGAGGTCGTTGCTTATCTCCGCGTTGTCGGAAAAGTCGTCCAGGGAGATCTTGGAGAAGGGCAGAAGGCTTGTGATCTCCTGTGGAAGAGACAGAGCAAAGACAGTCAGTAGATTCCCATGCTCTTTGCAAATTAGCCGATATTAATGAGAAAAATGTACCAATTCAATTTCAATAAGTGGTTTTCTAGTTCTCGTCTCTGCAGCATAAATTGTATTCCTTATTACCACAACAGACAAATAGAGGAATAATGGCTTATGTGCGTTTATTATCAGAGGGCTGTCTTTGAGCAGCAGGGGAGCAAACATGCTGACCTATCAGGCCAAAGCAGACCCTTGTTACTATTGGAAATGTGGTTGGGAGAAAAAACAGGACTGGGAAAGTGAGTATTAAGAGGCAGGGGATGGATGGGATGGTGGTGGTGGTGGTGGTGGTGGTGGTGGTGGGGGCAACAGGAACCCTTCTAACAGAGGTCTGAGCCAGAGCTCACATTTCAATCTATGTCCTGGGGGAGTTTGAGAAATCAATGCACCTTAATCCTCCAATCCTCTGCCTGTCTGAGGCTAAAAAAAACATTGCCTCGGTGAGATAACACTTCACTCTTCCTCGTCATGACACGGTATAGCAAAATACACACACGTACGTGTGTCCACACATGCACAGTCACTGAATCGCACTGATTGTAATCCACGAGGTGAGCGAAGTGCTAGCAACACCTCACCGATAAGCCAGACATTAGTGCAGCAAGCGAAAGGCCAATATCCTGAACCCTTCCACCGTGCTGACACCCTATTTGTTTGCTCAAAGTACAAAACAAAACTGTGACACTTTCATGACACAAATATGATGCAGCGGTTGCAAACTGAGTCGTATTCCTTCATGGAAGACGTGAGTATTATGTGGCCTGCCATAGGAATGAGTCATCCTTTTTAAATCTACGACTTACTCTGACAACGTGACGTGTACGACCGGCTGGTAACTTAACAGGTTGTGATCCAAATTCCCTTCAATTTAAAAACTGCTCCACTGTGTCAATCAGAGCCCACCTACAGAGCTACACCTAAGTTGCATTGTGTGCAGTCAACTGGGACATCCGCAAAAAAAAAAAAAATCTTTCCACACCACAAACGGACCCTGACGGATTACTAGAGGTGAATACATGAATACAAAATGTCACTGTTACAATAGATGGATTTAGCATATCCAGAGAACCTTGACATAACCCGAATATTAATTCTATTCTGACTCGCAGGATAAAAGCAAATGGGCAGAACTTGGTTTTTTTTTAGTGAATTGCATACTGATGGCCACTACCTCGGCCTGAACAATAATAACTTGAGCTCTGGATGTCAGCTCTCACATTATTATCCCAGGCTCAGCGCTTCGTCGCAGCAAAGAAAATCAGACGTCGTGTGCCTCATCGGGCGTGGCAAAGCCTCAGCTACCAGTGAGAGTTCAACACATCTCTGTAGTTGGTCGACCTAGCGTCTCTTTCCCCCCGAGCTAGTCGGCTCACAGTGACTGACTGCTCCTTCCATGTCATGCAGTCTTGGTTCCTGGGTCACTGATACTTCAGCTCCTTCTTGACTGTTCCAGGATACGCTTGACAAAACTGCCTCTGTAGAGTCTGACGAGGAGGAGCAGCAGCTCAGAAAAAACCTTTCCACTTGTCAAAAATCTTCAGGGTTTGATGGCAGTCAGTGAGAGTATCAAGCGGTGACGGAAGATCTGACTTGAGCTTTGTTACATTTTACAATCGTATTGAGAAAATTATTAAATTAGCGAAACTTCTGTAATAAGATGATTTTTAACTCTCCCTTGACACAAGCTGGTGAATTTGAAATGTAGAACGAGTCTAAATAATTCACATATGGCAAGAAAGTATATTTTGTGTAAGACAAGCTCTACACAATGTTTTTCTTTTTTTATAAATGAGCACTTCCGTACCATTAAATTGACCCGGACAGTGACCACAAGTTTAAGCCAGGAGGGGAACTTGGCAATGATCTTCTTGATGAAGGAGGCAATGGTGTCTCCGTAGTCCGGTTTATGGAACTCTGCTTCGTTCAGCCCGTCTATCAAGATGATGTGATCCTCCTCTGGAATCCTCCGCTCTGGAAACACACACACACACACACACACAATAACCAACAAAGGTAAGAAGATGTGCAGCGAGGTGCGGCTCTTACGGTGACAGTTCAGTTCAACTTAACTTCACCGTGGCCAGTGTGCAGAGAGGTGCCTTGAGTCAGTGCAGTAACTAAGCCCTCTCTCTCTCAGAGGTGTGGTGAGAGTGAGAGATAAGGGCTTTCACCCCTTAGATTCATTAACTACACTGCCACTGCTCACACTTCGCTCCATACGGAAATGTCAAGTTAGCTGTTCTGTAGAGACAACAGTTAATACCTTCAGTGGCAGCTGATTGAGTTACTCTCAGAAATCAGGGGGGGGGGGAGAAACTGTCCTGATTATTTGGTATTATCATAAGCTTGTAATAATCTTCTTTACGTTTGTATAATATTTGAAAGCTGCAGTGTCTCTTTATGACATTTAATGAATACGTCCGTTACATTCCATTCCAGTTATATTGCCGAGCAGGTCACATTTTATCACATACTCAAATATTTAGGACAATTTGGGGTTCAGTGCTCAAGGACGTAACCATGCATCACCACATCTAAAACAGGGGAGACCAGACGCCTACAAACATGAAATAATAAAATATAATACATTGGTGTTTTACCTTTACGAAGGCTGGTTAGTGGCTCAAGGACCCCCCTCCGGAAGGCGGCCATGGGGTCCTGGACACATGAGCGCAGACTGAGCATGCTCTGGAGGTGGGGCTCCTTCAGCAACATCTCCCGGTACGCACTGAGCTGGTGTGCTCTGCACAGCAGGGCAGCGATACTATGCACAAACTCTGGTACGAGGCAAGTGTACGTGTTATCCGCCTGGCAGTAGTGATATGCCACCACCTGGAACACAACGAGAGGAGAGAAAGACAGATAAAGCCAGAGTTATTTCAGACTTAAGGAGTATTAAAAACATGTCAGAGTAATAAATGTTTGTTAGTTTTGGCTTCGAAAAATATGCAAAGCTGGGAACGTTCGAAAACCTCAAAGCATTTGCAAAAGCCGACTGCCTTGTTGATTAAAAACCAAATTCTGTGGACACAGTCCTGAATCTCATGTTCTTTTATTCATACAACCCTCCATAAAGCCACATATTGTCTCTTCAACCAAGTTTAAAACAAAACTTTAGAGGGGATGATGAAGTAATTGGTCAAAGGCCGAGCACCTCAGATAAACTCTACTATCAAAAGGAGCCAGTGGGGAGCTCTGAAAGGAGGATCTTCTGTGTCTGAAGTGTTCAAAGGAGGTCTGATTCAGGAGCAAAAAGGAGGGACGTGGATTAAGGGAAGAAGCAGAGAGAGATGCCCTGGGGATGTGTGACTCTGTTCTAATTACAGTCCAACCTGAAGGAGCTGACACACTTCCAAGAGGAGCAGAAGGAGGAGCAGGTGACTCTGTTGCTGCTGCCTATTGTTCCATCAACAATGATGACCAGCTCCTGGAAAAATAACGAGCTGACGCACTTTCTTCTCAGCCAAACCACAGTGACATCTGAAAGTGTATTTCTATGTCCTACATTTGTAATGGAGTAGATATTAACCACATTAACTAATACATCTACTATAAGCATGATGTTGACAGTGATTTAGAGATCTAAAACAAGACTAGGTAGGAACAATGATGGCGGCGGTGCTCAAAAAAAGGACTGTGATACAAACAAGTAACTGCGAATTAATCCCTGGGGTTGGCGCTTCGTCAATTACACATTTCACCAGTCTGTCACTACAACATCAACTAGTTGTCTCCAGATGTGTGCTCTTTACAAAAGTGGCAAAATAAGGCGTATACAATAAATTAAAGTTACCTGCCATCTTTTGATATGGGCCTGAGAAAGAGACTGCAGTGATAGTTAGAGTACAAGTCATGTAGACTAGTGCCTCATCAATAAGCAATACGCATCTCAACAAATATGGTGCAACACTCTGCAGTGCACCTGAAGCACTTCATGTACCACTGAAATGAATCTGCTGTTGAGAAACAATGCCTAAAATGTGCCTCTGAAACAGGGGTGAGATGTAAAATTGCGACAGACCATAAAACGTAATGGCCTCAGTGCCCCTGTTATGAGACCGCTTTTTAAATCAATGATTAAAAAGAACTGAGAGAATTTGACAGAAGCAGCTCAGGGCATCAGTATTCACACACCACTGAGAGCCTGTTGGGAACACTCTACCCAATAATTAGCTTGAGGGACATCGCCTGGGTTTATTAGACATTTAGATGAGCCTCCGTGGCATAAAGTCAGACGTCTGGTGCGTGAAATTTAGCGTTTCCAGTGGCAGAGGCAAACTCTACAGGAGGCATTTCATGCCCCATTTCACTATTAAGCAGGTATCCATGACAGGGCAAGAGTGTTAACTGAAGGTGTTACAGGGACACCAGGATGTAAGCGAGAAAGAGTCCCATTAGAAAGCTGTGTCACCGATCAAAAGAGCTAACAACCCACCATCACAAAAGGTATTCAAATTAAGTGAATGACATCGTGGATCCAAAATATTCTCTGAAACACACGGGGCCCCGAAATCTTCCTTGTTAAAACTCTCAGCAGGCGAAAAAATGCAAAAGTTATTAAATGCCCCTGAGAGTTTCAGTTAACTGCAAGTATTTCCAAAATGAACTGAATGTGCTGGTATTGCATGGCAAGCAGCAGTGGTGCTACTTTGTAAACCACACACGTGAATGAGGCTGTAGTCAGTAGTCCCTGAAGGAGCAGGAGTGAAGTCCAGAGGAAACGTTTCTGCCAATGAAATATAAATATATAGATTTCATTGGCAGAAACTGACAGAAATCCTATTAGTTATCTATGAAATTATCTCTCTCATGCATCAACTGAAGCAACATTATTCAACCTTTTAAAAAAGTTGTGGAAACAAACATTATGGAATGTCATCCAGACTACATGTGCTGCCATGTGACGTGACTTTGGGGCGTGTTCGCAGCGTTGCCACAACATAACCGAGGGCAGCCTATCTAAAATATTCTCTTCAATAAACTACGATAAATATGATCCTGAACACAACTTAGAGCAATGGAAGGCTCCGATAGATAGCCTTGTAGGTCATTTTCAGCTAAAGTAAAATAGGAGAATAAATGAATAATATTCAACACTAGATTTTCCTGGACTTTTGGCTTTTTCAATGACTGGAAAAATGGTCACCCGTTTCTCCAGTTTTCCAGGTTGTGTGGGAAACCTTTACCTTCTAGAAATACTGAAGCTTTGGTTAAAGTGATGTAATTAAACAGACTCATACAGCTGTATCAGATCAAAGCCGAATTATTAAAAGTATGTAACTATTCTTAGATGGCTAAAGAAATCCAAAATATGCACTTTTACATAGGATGGGGACTAATAATAATTTCCAATTGTTCCTTGGTCACCTAATAACTCTAATATTCAATAAATGTTTTTCTCTGCACAGAACATAATAAAAAGCTATAGGCCCTATGTAACAATGTTGGTGTCTTCCTTTAATGAAACACATTGGAAGCTACAGCAGCTAAGATATAATGCAAAATGTTTTTACTTAACACAGCTGTCGTACTGCAGCAGTGAGATGCTGCGGACATTAATATTGAACTTGGACTTTTTCATGGCCAAGTCTTTAACTAAGCTCACGGCTTCTCAGATCAAACAAGCCTGTGATATGAAAGGTCTCTGCGAGACCAACAGTGACATCGTCTTTCATAACCTCAGCGAAGAAACCATCCATATTTCATAGGCTGAATATCAAACAAATGAACATAAACAACCATAAATCACATACAAACACGTAAGAACATAAATCAACCGAGCTGAGCCGGTATCAGGTTTCTGCAGTGCATCTCATACATACTAAAAAGAGATTCAGCACAGCATGAACATCTTTGTAATAAGGGAGAGAACAACCAGCAAGAACAAACAAAGAGGAACTGCAAGAAGGGCAGATATGTAACGTCCAAAACAGAAGACTCAGCACATCAATAAATGTACACCAGCGACAGCAGACACCTGTGCATTTGTTTCAATCATAACAACACTTTGCTCTCAGGCGTCATCAAACCTTTTTTATAATGAAGCTGATTGACTTTTTGGGATGGATCATCATCTTTAAGGATAAGTGACACTGTGATTCCTCCTGGATGCTGAGGGGCTGTAATCGGCTAAAGTTGTACCTTTGCAGCCAGGCGTTTGACAGCCTCGTCCCGACGTCGCTGCATCTCGGGGGTGCCCGGGCAGCTGTTGGTCCTCAGCGTGTTGGTAGCACTGGAAGGTGGAGTGGGCTGTGGAGGCTGGCTGAGTGGAAGTTCTGCACTTGGTCCCACACCACCTGGAAGACACAGTCACACACTTTTGTCACATACGCATGAAGACACGAATAAATATAGACATACGAGTTCTGAATCAAGTATTTGATGCATTAGATGGTGTTAGTTTTGAGTTGATATTGTCAGTGGATATATCCTCAGTTCACTTCCACACTCTGCAAGATTATTGTAAAATAAAAATACAATAACCTGCAGTACAAAACTAGCTAATGTAGTGCTAACATCCAAAGGCAAACACTTTACTTTTTGGGGAGGCACTGGGACTGTTGGAGGCTATCTGCCGCATTCGGCCTCCGTGGCAGCTCAGCGCTACTAGCCGGGAGACGATGGCCGTCTTCCCGTAACCCACGCTGCCCACCACCACAGCGCCGTGGTTCTCCGTGGACTCGCTGGCCTTCAGGACATCTTCCAACTGCTGAAAGAGCCAATCTCGGCCCACAAACACAGAGTCTGTGGTGATGCTGGGCACCTCAAACAGCAAGGGCTTGAGCATGATGTCCACGGGTTTGTAGGGAGCAAAACGAGCTGAGGAGAAGTGATAGGAAAGAAAAGCGTTAAAATACAATTCTGTCGCTATTTGTGTCCGATTGTTTCCGACTTGCGTCATCCAAACATTTCCAATAATTCCGAAGGTCTACAGTTTACTTCTTTAAAAGATTTGTTGGCTTTTGTGTTCTTAAAAAAATGGATGCTCGAGGTTCCTTGAATATTTGTACTGAGAAAAATACCTGAATTAAATCAAAGGTGATGTGTTCTTGGAAAGGAGAAAAATAATTGGCAAATTTAAAAGAAATTGTTGGTAGGACTCCTAAGTACACACAATTTTAAATTGATGGGACAAAGACTGTAATGTAGACAGCCAGTGCTCAAAGTTGTCTGGTACTCAGCAGAACTGCTGCATTTTACTCTTATGCGTACCGTGACTTTTTCTTGTGTACCGGCACTATTAATAAGATTAATAATTCTCTTTTCTGCCCTCTCAGGTTTTAGGTTGTTATCTATAGTAATAATAATGGCCCAAAACAAATTAAATTGCACAGTAATATGTGACAAATAGGCCGACTATAGTAGATGCATAGCCCCAGTATAATGATATCATAATAAAATCACAACTGATTCAGTATAACACAGATAAAAAAACTTCTGGATTCTGGCCAACACGTGATTAAAGGGAGTACTGTCAGTACTAGTGCCCGTACTATTACAATTACATTACTGGCACTGCAAACAACATTAATTATTGCATGTACTTTAATGTAATGATTACTAGCACATTTAACCTGTTAGATGATGTATACAATACAGATATATGTGAGGTCTAAATTAACATATTTAAATCATTCTGCTGGTCAACTGCTGGCAAACTTTTGACCTGAGCTGAGGGATATTATGGTGTCACCTGCCCACACTAGCCATATCTCATTTCCTCACTCACTGCAGTCTAGAACAGTTTAAGACCATAACAAATGTGACAATAACGGAAAACTAAAAACATGCACACATACAGTATAGAACAGAAATTCTGTCTGAGCAGACATTGACTCAGTACTAATATAAAATGAATATAAATGAATCCACTGACATGATGCTTCTGGAAATGTGGAAAAGAAACAGGACATTTATTTTAAAAACAGAGCTAAATAGTTTGACTACCTAATGATGTCACATTAAATTATTCATGTTCTCATCAAATATTCACTCTGTGGGATTTTTCTCATTGAGGCCGAGGTTTCAAAACGTATATCCGAGATAAAGGCTGGTCAACCCAGGACATGATTTATATCTGCAGAGCTAAATGTGTGCAGGAAACACGTTTTTTTGATAGTTTAGCTTTAATATAAATCCGTCTAGTGGTGTTTGCGGTGCATACTTGAAGTATTTGGACAGTTTTGGTGCGCGGCACTTAAACACACTGGATTTGAAATCAAACTAGGTCTATGAGGTTGAAATGCTGACTTTTAGCTTTAATTTGAGGGTAATTACATCCACCTGGGTTGAACCTTTTTACATACCTCCTAATAGCATAAGAAGCTACAGATCCTACACTCTTTCCTACACTACGTTAGAGCTGAAACACAGCACTTTATCCTCCCAGCAACTGTCACTGTTTCATTTGAAATCTAGTGTCATGGAGCAGAGCCAAAACAATGAAAAGCTCTAACACTACCTTTAACACTACAACTGACAAAAGTACAACATGCATGCCACCTTTAGAGTCCTGAGGCGGCCTTCCTCCCGTGTTATGCCAGGGTAGGCGAATGGACGTCCGCAGCGGGGTGTTGCGCTGTTCATCAAGAAAGCTCAGGTCTTCCAGCTTTGTGGAACTGGTTGCTGCAAACAGAGACAGGAATGAAAGGAGATTGAAGCAGATCTTGAGTGCATCTTGAGTGCTTTGGCACATTTGCCATCTCTGAGAGAAGATGAGTGAAATAGAAACCCTTTTTATTGTCATATACACATACACGAAATTTGACCTCTGCATTTGACCCATCCCTGTATATAGGGAGCAGTGGGCTGCCAATGACAGGCGCCCGGGGAGCCGGGGGTTCAGTGTCTTGCTCAGGGACGCTACGACACGTGACACGTCCCAGTCGAGGATCGAACCGTTGACCCTGCGGCTACCAGACAACCCCTCTTAAGCCAGTGAGCCACGGTCGCCCACCGAAGAAGAGGGCTCTCACGTTTACAGTTTGCTTGAGGCTGTGTGTGCCGGTACCGGTATACTGTAGCAAAAAGAATACCGGTACCCCCAAGTCAAGACAGCGATGCTCCCTTTTTTCTTTGATTTGAGGTGACAACTACACACGATATAGCAGTGAGAGGTCTGTCCCCACAGACACCCCCACACTTTTACTATAGTTTAATTCTGCATACGAACGACTCGATGAGTCAGTGATTACAAAGCAATGCAACGTCCTGTTTAAAGTACGAGCCATGGTCTGAACATAATAAAGATGTGCAGAATGCTTAAAGGGTCTCTCTTCCAATTGCTGTTGGCCCCGGTGAAGAGCAGAATCAAAGCCTCTGCTTTCCACTTTATCAGCCTCAGCTGGGAGAGACTGTCACAAGCACTCCACTCTTCTTTTCACTCGCTCTCTCCCCTCACTTGGTCGCTAACTTACTCTCTGGAATGTCCCACTAATTAAAACCCGTCTGCTGACAACAGAGTAACTGAGGAAGCTGCCGTCAACACAACGTTGACTGGAATTTAAAAAAAAAAAAGAAGAAGAAGAAGAAGGCCCTCGCGGTTACTTTTACTGCAGTGGAGGGTGGTTTCACAGTGAACTACAATGGAGAAAGCTGAACTATTAACAAGCAAAGTAAAGAAAATAAGAGAGGCAAACTCATCAAGTCAGTGAGAGCGGAGCAGCACAGCACTAATACTTGAGCAAACGTGATTCTAAAGCTAAACTGAACAGCTACTTACATCCAACAGCAGAGCCAAGAAGTGGGTTTTCTCACAAGGGGACTCCCTTGTCCCCAGGGTGGAATACACTTGGGCAGGCATACAGGCAAATAGGCAGGGTGCAGACCCCTCACCTGAATCTCTCGAGGATAGAGGGGATGAGCTCACTGAGGGCACAAAAGCGATTTCTCTGCCCACCCCCCCTCGTGCTCCCATACAGGCACATTGGCAGTGTTCAGCTGCTGAGCATCGGGCTTGGCTGCCCCCTCTCCAGCGCTCAGCCAGTCACAGCATCCAAAGCATTAGGCACTTGCTAAATGAATTAAGCGCTTTCCGAAATTGGTAAGCAAGCAACAGAGGGTGAAAAGGGGGAGTGAATTAGAGGAAGTACAAAAGGGGAAACCGAGAGATTTAGTCTCCAGTGGCTGATTACAGTCTGTAATGGGCAGCTACTGTACTATTAATCAATGATCCTGGCTGGAGTCGGGTGAGAAAAGCATGAGGAAAAAAGCACGAGATATGAGAACAAAGGAGGAGAGAGAGAGGAGATGGACAGAAAACTCACCACTAATCACCTCTAAAGCCCAATACTGACACGTGGACCATGAGAAGAGCTCTGTCACTTTTTTTTTTTTGTCTGCTGAAATCTTTCTGAGGTGAGAACACAAAAGTCACACCGTACCTCATAGTGCACCAGGCACATCTTTGTTTGCCCACGGGTCCAATAAGCAAAGACTGCAGGCGATCCTCAGTTTGACGTGCTTAAGTAGCATCAATGCACACACTCCTCATATCTCTCGTTATCCACCATTCTTTCAGGGCCAAAGATTTCCCACAGGAGGCCTTCATATCCCACAAATCCCCCTCTTCAATTCCTTTTCTCCCCTCTTTGGATTCTACCCCATTTTTTTGCCTTTTCTTACATCGTCTCTACTCATTGATAAAACATACATTTGATACCTTGAAGTCTCTGCTTGCAGGGACTTTGAAGATGTACAAATGTGTGGGACTGTATTCTGATGGAAATTAATTTTTTCCTCATGCAGGTCTGCCCTTTGAAAGCTTCAGTCCCGCGTTTCCCCCGACAGAACGGAGGGGAAGAGGGCTTAGCTCCTTTTTGCTCCAACCACTGTACTCCTTCTTGCCCTGATGTGGCTTTCCTCCTTACAAATGGATACAATCAGTATTCCCAGCACCATGCACACCATGTTGCCTTTTCGCATTGCAGGAGTTCATTGTAACCACTGTGCGACATTGTACGAGGAGGAGTGAAAGAGTAAAAGCCTTTACACACCGGGGGGCGTGACGAGTTAAAAACACGACAATGCGAAATACTTAGCTCTGAATATTTTTGCATCAAAACCATTTATTCCGGCAGCAATACAAATTTGCGATGGTTGCAGCCCTATTGCAGTAAAAGTTTTGAATAGATTCGCACATGTGCAGACAGAGGACTGAGTCAGAGCAGCTTCTGGATTCTGGCAGCGTCTGTCTGAGGTATAGCCTCAGACAGACGCTGCTGCATAGCCTCAGCCTTAAACTATTTTATTGAGTTTCCTTTTAACAAAATGGGTCTTTGAGAAATGTCCTTCCCTCTGGTGACAGGTATGCAATACACTGTACATGTCTTGGGCTTTTACTGTGAAAGGTAAAACAGAAGAAGTGGCTCTGGTATGAACTGCTTTAAAATGTAAAAACGGTGATGATTACCTCGGCATAATCTTGATATAAATGTGTTGTAATGTTCACCTAAATATACAAAAAGCATACAGTAAAGGTATTAGTGTCGTGTGAGAGATGGGAACTATGAAATCTGGAAATCTTGATATAAGAAATTTGACATAGAGAGACAAATGGTTGAATAAATATATATTCTTAATCATCACCCACCCATCCTTATTAGTGACAGCTGTGATTCAGAAGGCTGCGGTGATTTATCTGTAATAAATCTTTAACATCACCTCTAACTCCAGTCATCCTCTGCCCTGTTGATTCAGAGGCGCTTTAGATTAAGATGACTAAGTGCAAAGTAGAAGTGGCCTTTACACAAATTCGGCTTGTTACCATGGAAACTTGAAATAAAACTCCAGCTGCAATAGTCCGCTTTTGTGAAAAATGAATATGTAAAAAGCTTCACCGAGTTGTTGCGTGTCAAACTTCTTTGTGCTGTGATTATGAAACACTGCAGCGTGTACAGAAGACTGTATTTCTTGCCCTGAGATAAGCTTGCATTAGATTAGAGAGTTAGTACTCCAACATGTTATAATAAGTGCGAGCAACAAAGTACAGCTGGGGCTATAGGAAGGTCATTAGTTGGTCATAAACCAATTGGGTAAATTAAAATTTTGATGGGATGATGGCGCGACATAAAGAGTTATGGGACCACTAAAGTCATTCAAGTTTATCCTGAGGGGAACGTGTCGTGAATTTCTCTACAAGCCTTCATGACAATCCATCCGACGGTTACTGAGGTATTTCAGTCTGGACCCAAGTGGTGCACCAGCCAACCGGCCTACCGACAGACAGGCCGAGAGCGATATTGTGAAATAACCACAATAGATAGAGTAGCTTTGAAAAGGATTTCCTACACAGGAACAACACACACAGCTTAAAAGACAGTTCATACCTCACTGGAAAAAAGTCAGAGCCAAGAGCTAAAGATAGGAAGAAAAAAAGACATTTGGACCTTGGACATTGAGATATTCACGCCGTCAGAACAGTTGCATAGTTCCTCAACACCTACAGTATTACATGGTTCTCAATAGCGGGGTGCTATCAATCAAACATAGCCAGATGGCTCTGTGGTGGCAGAGAGTAGTTCGCCAACACATTGTCCCTTTGAGATTAGGCCTTTTGGCAAGTTCTGATCTACCAATGGAGTGCCACTGAGCAGAATTTTAAATGGCTTTTCAGAACTGACACAGATTGATCTCTGCAAAGGTTTGTATCTTTGCTCCTGCTGTGACATAGACGCACCAACAAATCTCTGAGAGTGGACATTTTAAAAGATGTCGCCGTGACCTTTTTAGAGAGATGGACGATATGAATGGGGTTATTCGGGTTTTCTTTGTGCTTTCTTTTCAATCTCGAACTGAAAAGATCTACGTTTACGTGAAGCCAGAGGCAGAGGAGAACTCCATGGCTACATCACAAAACACTGACAGAAACGGGAAGATGCTGTCTGCTCCAGCAATTAAAGGAGACAATATTGTATTTGGCACAAGCAGAGAGGTCGTGAGCTTACAGTTTATCAGATAAAGCACATCGTGCTGCGCTGTTACAGTTCTACAGAGGGACTACACCATGTTGAATCCAAAAACCCTTAATCTTCATGCTGCAATACTGACACACATGATTTTTTAATTTGAAAAGATCACACTCTGACCTTCGCAGACATCATTGATTCATTGTTCACATGGACCAGCTGGAGATGACTTCAGTCCATCTGATAAAACACAGATGCGAGCTGTTCTCAAACCTTACCTTGTCACTGTCCTCAAAGGGTTTGATAGATGAATAACATATCCTTGAAGAGCATCACATAATATATCACAGACGCGGAGCACAAGTTTTTTTTAGCCCGAGGAGCAGATGGCTTTGGAGTAGAAACTGTGTACTGTACCTCAACATGGCTCTGACCACAAAGCTCTGTCAAATAGCAAAACACCACGGATGCACTGTAGCACCATTCCTGAGCCTCGGTGAGCCGAACTCGATCTGCCTGTCCGAGCAACGCGACCGCAAGCAGCTCAAGCTAAGATTTCAAAACCATGGAATTCCAGTGGTCACAACTAATATGGCCCTCTGACTCTGTCATCAAACAACAGTGACTTATTACCTTAGTATATACTGTGGAGCGAGACACATGAAGGGAAATTTAGTCAACCATTGAAAGACATGCAGTCTCTACCTCTGTTTGAACATACGCTCTTCTCTATCGAGTTATTCTGCACCGTATTGAAAAGAAATAAAAGAAATTGGTCTTAAATCAAATATTAATGAATTACATATTGTGATTCCAACTGAATCAAGACAGACATTCACATTACGAGCAAAAAATGTCATTTTGTTTGGTGAGAGCCGTCTCAACAGGCTTTTAATGCTGGACTGTAGAAAGACTCAAGAGGACTGCATTTTCAAGGGAGGTTAAATGCTCAGAGATTGTTTGCTGCAAGGACGTGGAGAAAAAAAAGCACAAAGAAGCCCGGGAAAAAACTCACAGCAGTCACTGTACTGTACATGTGGTCGACTGCTCGCTCTAAACAGGAGATATCCAATTTTAAATGGATGATAAATACATGTAGTGGCTGTTGCGGTTGTTAAAACTTTAATGTTGACTCATATGGCAAAAAATATATTCCGTGATGAATGGTGCCTCAGACTACCAACTAATGATGCAATTACAGACAGCCCCTAAAGAGGCATCACAACTCAACTCTGTCAACGGTGACAGGTGGTGCAAGCCAACATTTGTGCGACTTGCCACAGCAAATGCTAGTAACAGCATTAGTGTGTGTTCACCAAGGCAGTGCAAATAACCCTTCTCTGCAATAAGTGGACATTCCTTCCACATACATAGTTAACATTCTAGAGGCACAGCTATAAGCCTGTTGATTGGTATGAGGCAGATGGGCAAAATCCACTTTGCCTCAAGAAGATTTGGCCTTTGTGCTGCAAAATGCCTGGATATTACAATGCTTAGTCAATCAATACAAGAACAGAGTTTAATTTAGATGGACTCTAAGTCCACATAGTAGGGGTCTCCAGATAGTCGCTTAACTGGCTCTTTTCAGCTTCAAGAAACAGCTACTTAGTACCTTTCAGATGTCCGAGCTCCTCACACTGAGCCTAAAGGTGCAATCCTGACACCCTGCAAAAAAACGTCACTTTATTTGTTGCTACTATTCTCTTGAAAACAGGAATGTAGATCAACTGTAAAAGAGAGAGAGCTCTCCCTTCATACCTAGATCCTTCTTCATAACAGTCCAGCACGAGGTCGGCATCACTGCCCACTTCACACGAATCCGCCTTTGGAACACGTCCTCCATATTACTCTCATCTGTCAACAAGACCCTGAGATACTTGACCTCATTTGGAGCAGAAGTGACTCCCAACCCAAAGGGAGCAATCCACGGTTCTCAAGCAGAGTGCCATGGTCTCAGACCTCGAGGAGCTGACATGGAATGAAAGTTTATTGACTGAAACCCAGAATCTATTCAGGAGTGGGGGGGATCATTAAATTGCAGTTATCTGACGTTTTGCATGCTCATTGTCCTAACTTAATGTCTATCAAATAGGTAAAGTCACCGCAGACATCTCATTATCCAATGTGCTGGGACACAGAACCACACAATGGAAAACAGTCCCAGAGGTACTGGCACATAGAGTGAATGCACTAATGATAAATGTTTTTCTTTCTTTTGTATCTCATTCATTTACAGCAGGTCCTTCCTGCTTCTGTATGCTTCTTTAGAATATCTGTTTTAATACAATATCCTTCAGCATCAACTGAAAACCAGCACCATCTCCTGCCATAAATGAAGTTGTCTCACCACGTCCTTCATGTGCTCTCTCAGGGCTTTGCCACACAGCATAAAATCTGAGGTGTGAATTCTGCAGGACCCTAGAGGGCGAAGCTGCATAACTATGACATCAGCCAATAAACTTTCGAAGCGCACAGGGAGACATGCTGCACACTGGCGCTCACACGCAAAACAACACACATTAACAATCAAATATATCTCCTGGTCTGTTAGCTTTATGAGCCAGTGAGTGTGCGTCTGTGCCGTTCAGGTTTATGTCAGCGGCAAAATAAGGATGAGATGTAAAAGGGTCATGGAAAAATTGAAGGGCATCTGTACATGTACCACTTCATGTTTGCAATGTGGGTACCGATTCAACGGTGGGCTGTAGAAATATTATCACAGTGTTGTGCAACAGCAGTGCACAGTGTAGGATATACATACATAAACTATGAACTGCATTTTATGTTACCAGCCATGCATTATTCTCTTATACCTAAACCATCTTCCTCTCTTGCCAATAGAAAAAGAGCACTGCAAGGACGACCATCGGCATATGAATGGGCTTCTGGTTGAACATTTTCAAGGATTTCAGACAAACATGGCCTCTTAAAATTACATTTATTCTGCACGGGCTTTTGTCAACTGTGATTCACAATAAGTTCATTCAAACAAAACAGGAACTTAAGTTTGATGTTATCATAGAGAAAAACCGCACAGTAGAAGTAGAAGACACAAGTGTTTAGTGACTGAATTTCATCAAGGCCAATCATCAAGGTGTATTTTGGTGTATTTTGCAGGAGCATTAAAGCATTTGATCTTCAACTGATTGGCCGCTGTGCCATCCAGGTGAAATGGGTAAAACACTCTAAACCCTGTTATATTTCTAAGCCCCAAAATATATATATATATATATATATATATATATATATATATATATATATATATATATAAATAAAAGAAATACATCTTCTCCTAGCTAAAAACTAACATTCACATGTTGAGGGACATACTACTCTACCTTTGACTCGTGTCTGTCTTGGCTATTGGTCAGACCTGATATTTCCATGCTTCTTTCCCCAGTTCTTCACAGTCTGCCCCTGCCTTTGTAATTTCCTGCGACTTAGAAATCACCAATGAAATGATCTGCTTGTATAACGCAGCGTGATTAGGTTCATCTGCTCTTCAAGCTGTTACCCTCACCTCCGTAACAATCTTCATCTTCCCCCGAAGAGTGCTTCTCTCATCTGTTGTACCATTTACTCACCATCCACGCTCTAGACTGCTACCGCTAAAGCAAGTCAACATTTAACTTGTGTCCTTTATGTTCATATTGCTGTTAGTTCCAGTGTCTAGTCAGCCTAACAGCAAGCATGTGCAGCCCATTCCCCTGGGTTTGGAGTATGAGCTGCAGACTACATGGCTTGTGATTTCACAGTTCACTTACACATTCAAATCCAACAGCTGTCCTTAGTGAATACTGCAACACAGGATCTCAAATACTAGTGGAACCATGGCATTCAGTGAGGGCTTTAGTTTTAAAGGAAGATGTAAAAGTTATGGCCAAGGTCAAAAGCAGTAACAGCTAAAACAGAGGGAGGCAGAGTGGAGGAGCTCTGGGAATGGAAAGAGGGGGAAAGGGGGCTGCGGAGGGATATCAACAACTGTGACAGCTGTGTGGATATGTCGAGCTGAGCCATAACAGGGAGGTTTCCAGGGCAGGAATGCAGAACAGATCAGCCAGGCAGTGGTTTGCGCTCAGGTCCGAAATGGGAGGCAGGTCCGAGGCACAGCTGCCTAATCCCAACTTCTACCTCGATACCCCACTTCTCCTGAAGAACTTCTCGTTCCTTCTACATCTACACATGCTTTTTGTTCCTGCATGTATCTGTCACTTGCTTGCACTCAAAATGACAGCACACTTGTCAGCCTCGGGCACGGATCATATCATAGCGCCACTGAACTGACTGGCAATGCGATTCAGTGGGACACCCAAGTACACCGTCAAGAGTTTCACATGTTATCAGCATAACAAAAGGTTACCAGGCTACAAGAGGAAAACTTAAATAAATGTTTCTTGTAATGCTAAATGAACGCAGCCAAGGAGGAAAGGTATACAGATCCATGTCTTACTCCCTTCTCCCAGCAGACATCCAGATGTCAAATGCTCAAAAAAAAAACGAGGGCTCTTACCTGCTACAGAGTTTGGCCTCGGCATCATGAGGGAAGAAGATGTCTGCGATGAGTATGGAAAGGGTCCCTCGGGTGAGTGGCTTTGCGGCTGCGGTGCCCCTGCTGATGTGTTAGACTGCTGCTGCTGCTGCTGCTGCTGCTGGTCTGTCCTGGACGGGGTGTCGGCTGGTGCTGCAGTGGCGCTGGTGGAGTCTTCTTCGGCCACAGGAGAGCAGGTGTCGGCCCGCACACTCTGTGCCAGGCCATGGCGCCCACTGCCCCTCAGGCTGCCATCCTTACTCCACTCCAGGCTGGAGCCACTGCGGTCATCATTCTCAGAGGAGCTAGTGATGGTGGCTGAGGGGAGATTAAACAGAGAGGGAATTAGAGCAAGTGAGGGAGGTAAGATGCTCTTTGTGTGCTATGAACATTTATCTGTCTTCATCTCCAATGAGATACTGAGCTGTAATGGAACTTTTAACTTTGAATAAGTCCCAGCTTTTTCTCATTGCCCTTATCAACACTGTTAACCACCCGACTTTACAGAGACAGTCTGCTTGCACTATTGAAAACTGGAAAGACACGATAGCATGCACTGGAATTCATTTCCTGAGCCCACCGATCATCAGTTGAAGGATGCTTCTGGATGCTGTACTTTTTTTACACAAAATTCAACCTTAAATATATAAAAAATGTAAGAGTAGAGGGTTTGAAACTGCCTTCAGTATTTTTATGTCCAGACAGGTGTTTTGCTAACATGACAACAAACCCTTTAATCCTCCCTCAGGCCAGCACAGGCATCTAATGCAATCCTAAAAGATGAGTGGAGGGCCAAAGCTACACGAGCTGCAGCTGGAACAGAAACATCAGTACGGTCAGAGGACAGGAACGGACTGTCCAGCTGGCTGCTTTTGCATCACACACTCTTAATCTGGATTTGATAATGCCGCAGCACGTTACATCATTACTAATATTAACTGCTAATGGATGCGTTATGTTATCAATCAGAGCGAAAAGGAGGTTACATTGATTGCGAACTTGTTGAACTATAGAGAAATATAATATTCATATAAATATGAAGAATATCATTTTATTTACCCATTCAAAAGTATGGTGAGCGTGTCATTTTACCAGAGGAAGGGCTGGTTCTAGTTACTGCTACAGGGCTGTTATAAGTCATTCTCCAGGCACCCCATGCAAAAACTCCTCTGGGAGCTATTTAGTAAATGTTAAGACATTGCGACATCTCCCAAATCCACCAAGGAGCTTTTAACGGCAGTACAAAGCCAAATTAATGTGCTTTTGAAATCAGAGTCGGAGTCAAACTTCAAAGAACGGGGAACATTAATCACTGATTGGAATCTGACTTATGGACACAGCATAGCTTTGTTCTCTTCCATGCCTGCACGGTCTTATCAGGGCAGGTGGGTGGGATGTTGTAGACCAACGTCGCATTGTGTCATTCTCTCGCAAAGTAAATTCTGATTTGACAACAGTAAAGTAGCTTTGCAACGAGATAGACCATGCTGGGTGGCAGTCGATGTCCCATGCTGGAAGATGCTATATCACAGCTTCCATAAATTATTTAACAGCTAGCCAAGATATTACTCTGGGGGGGACAGAAAGACTGACTCATGGTAATCAGTCTCTGCAGCACTTGAAATCCAAATTGTTGTGTTTTATCTGGCTTTGGCATGCATTGTTGTGCTGCAGAACAATCATGGCAATGAGTTAACTAAATAGGCATAAAATGTGGCATATTCTAGTTAGTTCATACAAGAATATTACTTTTTCCCCCAAAACAATCCCTTCAGAAGTTCAAACGAGGATAACTGCAGGATCCTGTTGTTACAATTTGCTATTGAATTCCCACTGCAAATATTCAAAAGACATTTTCAGAATGAATTTCGAACATTTGTATAGCCACTGGAAGGTTTGTGAGTAGAAATAGCAGACGGATTAATATATCAATAGACCACGTCGTATTCCTGTCAGCTTGTGTAAATCCCCAGATGTCTTGCAGGGTTATTACTGGAGATATAATACCATGTCAAACTGTGGCAACCATCACCTCAATGCTCTCTCATACAGGAACAGCTCTATACAAACTCAATAACTGACACATGGCGGTTTAATACAACCTGACACAAATGCTATTCAGTGCCACAAAAAAATCCCAATGGGTTTAACAAAATGATGAATGAGTGACACGACACAGGGGAGACTTTGTGGTCTAAATCACAATGTGCACATGAGGTAACATTCTCAGATTGAACAGAAAAGCTTCACTGGAAGTGATGTAATTAGTTGATAATAATATAGTAGAGAGTGTGTGCAGAGAAATCTGCAGGATTGACGAGCACGGTTACTGACTGCTTTGACAAAGACACCATGGGTGGATATAAACAGCAGGGAAGTCAGTTTGAAGCTGGTTGTTTGACAGACATTCTATATCATGTTTTATGATATGAAGGTTCCGATATGAATGTCTGTTGAATTCTTGTATTTTGCATCATCCTGAGCAGTTTTTTCAAACACAAATGCAGTACAACAGTAAACATTAAAAACACCTCTGGTTACATTCAGTGTCACTTTCAAAAATGCCTTGTGAGTCTTTATCTTTGAGGCCTGAAAAGGGTGTTGGATGCTTTGCTTCTCCTCATAAAACATTTGCAAAGCTGACTTTAAAGGAGCTGTATTTGGAAACATGGTGATGGCTGAGTTGGCGGCTAGCAGCTAATGGTGCTAGCAGCCAACAGTGCTGGCAGCTAACTGTGCTAATAGCGCAAACAGTATAAACAACGGTAACAGTGCTGACAGAGCTAACAGTGTTAACCTGCAGGGGAACCAGAGGGAGGGTGCTACGCTTCACAGTTACCAACAGTTATCAGCGGTAAACGCCGTATGAGCACAGTGCACAGCGGCGGCAATTAGGAAGCCATGTGCTCACACAAACAGGGACTCACATGCACTAACATGCATGCATGCAAACTGAGAACATAGAAGCTCGTATTACAACACACACAGAGGGAGTGTTTATTCTCTACTCAGGAGGACATTACTCGACCATATCTTTACATAGCAAATCGTTGTTTCCTGCCATATTAATCCTCGACAATGTATGAAAAAACCGCAAAAATGATATTTGAAATCCTATATTCCATCCATGTTTGCTAGCTTTGGCCTGTTACATAAATCTGCACATTCTCGCAGCCTATAGCGTTAAACATGCGGCAAGAAGGTGTATTGCATCCGAGAAGAGTTGCTTGTAAAAACATTGCTCGTTAATGCTACTTTTAGTCAAAAACTCCACCGGGTACCATTAAGTAAGGATATGGGTACTTCCAGTTTCTTCCTACTCCATACAAGTTGCTGTTAGAATATGATAAAGGAGTTGGTTATTTCTCACCGATGATCCCGCTGTCTTTGCTTTCAAGGGTGGAGCTGGGGCTTGTGATGGTCCCACAGGGGCTGGAACGGCTGAGAGGGGGGCGGCTGGCCGTGCTGTTGAGCGTTGAACATGGGCTGTCAGTGCTGGGAGACGCGGTGCTGCTGGTCAGTGTAGAGCAGGGGCTGATACCCTGGCTAATCACAGAGCACTGGGTAGAAGAAAGAAAGCGGAAAAGGGTTAAGGTACACCAAGATTGTTCTCTACTAATCAAATATGTCAACGAAGTATGAAGTCGACCCAATATAAACTGTCAGCTGGCAACATAATCGCATTTTTTCAGCATGAGCAGCAATAAATACGACTAAAAATAATAATAATTTTCCAACCTTATTTGGAAGAAGAATTGAGACAACTGTAAGAACGATTTGATCCAAGTTCATTGCCTATTTACCAGGATCATGTAAAAGCAATGCAAACGATTCCCTCGAAAATAAACGAGCATTTAACGCGTGAGCATGACACACAAGCCGAATGGGCATAAGCGCTGTAAATGGAGCAAGTGTTGAAAATTACACACTCATATGTCTGAAGGGACCAAAATAGGCCTGAAGAGAAATTCACAAGGGACGAAGTATCTACTTTGTTGTGACACAATGGATACCTTTTCTCATGCATGCCACCAAGCCTGTCTCTCAACCAAACAGCAGCTGAATCATTGTTTGAGCTGACTGACAACCGTAGAAATCCAAATTAAAGCCGTTTGTCCTGTTGCCCCTTCGTCTTTCAACAGTATTCTGATTGCACACAACATACTGTAGCTCAAGAATCATCTATGCTCACTGTAAGAAGAGCCAAAGCCGTCAAACAGTTCCACATACGCTACTCGATACACATAACATTCCAATTAAAAAAAACACTGTTACAAGCCCAGGTCAAATTAAATCAATCCTCATACTCAATAGATTAACTTTGCTGCACACATTTTGTTGCCTGAGGAACTTTCACCCACAGATGACTTCTACAGCACCACTTACTACAAGACATGTGCATTACCTCAAATGAACTGCTCCAATTAAAATCTCAGCAAACCATCACAAACCATTTCTAACATTATACCTGAACTCAAACATCCATTAGCAGTTTAAAAAGCCTCTTTAATACACTGCACAACATTTTTTTTTAATAATAACCTAAGTGGAACAATTATAGCACTTACTGTTAAATGTAGTGATTATAACTGAGTTTGTCTGTGTCCTGCTTAAAACCTTACTGCAGTATTTCTGCTGCAAAAAAATCTATTCTTCTTCACCCCGACTGAACTCGCAAAACAGCGAGACTCGCAAAACAGCGAGACTCACCAACGCTTAGCCACTTTGAGATAGAAGTGGGACTAATGTCTGGTTGGAGATGTACCGACTGTTGCTGTTTAAAGGTCTTCATGTTTGTGCAGTGGCACACTGAATGAATACAAGCTGCAGAATAGGATGGATGCCACATGGCTTAAGGCATCATTAACAACTTGTGGAATGCTAATATGAACCACACAACGTTTCCTATTTCTAAGTCCAACCTGCTTTTGTTTTTTTTTGCGACAGCATGCCAGTATTTGGTCGGACATTTAATAATTTACTGTTGGGAAGAACTAAACACAAGCATGCCGAGTTTAAACTCATGTTGTAAAACAGCAGTAAGGAGGAAAAGGGAATTGCTGGCAGATGACAATAAAGTGCTCCTCCCCAACTGAGCTCAAAAAAACACACACCTACACGCACACAAACGAACCATTCCCACGTCTCAACTAATGAACGTGATTCACAAAATACTTTGCAAGTCTCTTTCTCATTCCTAGGATTGCCGGTTCAGTGTCAAAACGTGTCTAAGACACGAGATAAATGAGGGAAGCGTAGCGTGCTGGGCTCTGCTCTTCACACAGCCAGAGCTTAATTAGTAGAACCAAACAAACTGAGGCTCAGACCGAACATAACTCTATTTCTGGACCGGGACACAGTCACTCTTGTTACATACTCAAGAGCCCCTGGAATAGCACTCAAGTTACTGAGAGACTCACACACCACACTGGAGAGAGAATAAAACCACATGCAGCAGAATTTAAATATTCAGTTACTTTCTTAAAACCTCTTTATCATCTCGAACAAAACAGTTTGACAGTTACCGTTGTTTGTTGTGCCAAAAAAATGACTCCCAGAGGTGCATCCTAAATCCCCATCCAAAGATAATGCACAGTGGAAAAAAAATGAATCAAGCTGCAACAAAAAAAATCCATTCTTGTGTTACACTGTCACAACTCCCTCCTCCTCTCATCCTTACTCTATCTCTCTATCTGTGTGCTGCAGCAGTGGCAGCTGCTGAAACAGGGGGTGAGTTGGAAGGGGAGGGAGAAAATGAAATACCTTCTTTTCAATCTTGTCGTCCATAGGTATGCGTGCCGTACCCGGGATCCCTTCTCCTAGTAAAAAGCCCAGCCTTGTCATCAGTTCCTGAGTGGCAGGGGAGGAGGAGCTTGGTTGTTTCTCTGCTTGCAGCTCTAGAGGAGAGAGAGAGAGAGAGAGAGAGAGAGAGAGAGAGAGAGAGAGAGAGGGAGAGAGAGAGAGAGAGAGAGAGAGAGAGAGAGAGAGAGAGAGAGAGAGAGAGAGAGAGAGAGAGAGAAATGCTCAACGTTAGCGGGCAGATTCCCTCTCTCCACTGGATGGCCCACACAGGGCCGCTCTGCCTGCCCTGCCCTCCTCGGCTCTGCTCTGGAACGCTGTGCTACACTCTCCAGCTGCTGCTGATGTGGTGCAGGCTCAAAGAGGGGGGGAGGAAAGAAGAGCAAGGGAGTGAGAGAAAGAGAGAGGGAGTGTGGCGGGGGCTTGCATGGCTTGCACGACCTAGGTGTGTGTGCATGCGTGTGTGTCCGAAAAGAATCTGAAGACATGTGAATGTCTAGCATTGTTAAGAAAGCAGGGAATGTGAATGTGACTGTGTGTGTGTGTGTGTGTGTGTGTGTGTGTGTGTGTGTGTGTGTGT